GCTGTTGCCACAGCCCACACCTCCGCAGCAGCCTTCCCCACCGCCAGCATACCCCGTCCCAGGATACACGCCCCCACCGGCATAGCCCATCCCGGGGTAGACCCCGCTGCCCATCGCGCCACCGCCCACGCCGCCACCGACAAAGGCCCCGCGTGATCCCGCAACGAAGCCGCCGTTGGGGCCCGCTGCCATGAAAGAGCCGCCACGAGCACCGTAGAGGCTCATCGTCTGCACCAGGCCTGGCGACTGAACAGCAGGCACGCTGGGAGGTACGTGTCCAACCAGGGACGCTTGCGCGGGTGAGGCCTTGACCTTGGGCCAGAATGGCTACCGCACGAAGAGTCCACGAACTCTTGTATGGATCGCAGGCTCGCCCTCGCCCTCGGCGCTGAGGGACTCAAAAGATGTGCCGAAAAAGGTGGCACCATCTCAAGCACGACTCGGCTTCCATGCCATGAAGTACCCATCAGACCCTCCCCCTGGACCCCTCCGTAGAAGGCTTCACCCCAACTCAACGTCACCACGCATGCCTCGCTCTTTCCGTCGCCTGCTTAGCACGACGACAGACAGCGAGTGTACATTGTGAGGGCGCGAGATCGCTTGCCCAGTGTCTTGGAGCCCCATTGGTGGTGTCAAGACTTTGGTACGCAATATACAACTAACAGCAAACCTTGCGAACATCCATGAATATGGCCTCTCGGGGCCTTCTTGGGGGTCCTTTTGGGGCTCCTTTGGGCCGTCTTCGGACCCTCTTGGGTCATCCCGGGGCCCTCTTGGGCCGTCTTGGAGGGCTTGGGCCGTCTGGCGCGGAGCCCTCTGGGGCCCTCTGGGGGACATCCTGAGGCCTCGTGGGGCTCTCTTGGGAACCTTCTGGCGCCCTCAGGGGCCTTTCTTGGGCCGTCGTGGAGCTCTCCGGGGCCGTCTTGGAGCCCTCTTGGGCCGTCTTGGGGGCCTCTCTGCCGTCTTGGGGCGATTCTGGAGGTCTCTTGGGCCGTTGTGGACAAAGAAATGCCTCTGGGGCGTCCTTTTGGAGGCCTCGTGGAGTGTCTTGAGGGCCTCTTTGGCCGTCTTGAGGCCATCCTGAACCCTCTTCGAAAAAAACGGCCTCCCGTCGCCGTCTTGGGGCCCTCTTGGTCTCCCTGAGGCCGTCGTGGCGTGGGCTGGGCGCTCTTTTGGCCAGTCTTGAGCCGTCTTGGGCTCTTCTTGGGGGCCTAAGCCGTCTTGGGGGACATGGCCGAAATTGTGGCCACTACATGCGGGGCGTGGTCTCCTGCCTAGCTCCCTCCACTCCCCCTTGCTAAATTCCCCAACACATGTTAACGGATCGCGACGCTACGCGAGCTTACCGTCATCTGGGACGGGTTCTGCTAACTCCCTCACACTCCCTCTTGATATTTCTCTCTACGAACGGATCGCGACGCTACACGCGCTTTCCGTCATCTGGGATGGGTCCTGCTAACCCCTATCACACTCCCCCTTGCTAAATCTCCCCACTGACGGATCGCGACGCTACGCGCGCTTTCCGTCATCTGGGACTGGTCCTGCCGACCCCCTCACACTCCCCTTTGTTATTTCTCACAAATAACAGATCGCGGACGCTGTCGCACGCTTTTCCGTCCATCTGGGTCCCCCAGTGCCGAACCGCCTCACATTCCCCTCTGGTTCTCCCGACTAACGGATCGTGAAGCGACGCGCGCTTTCCGTCATCCGCCGCCCCCTGTGGCTTGCCACAGGGGTGCCTGGCGTGCCAAACGTCTGGCAAAATGTGGCTCTTTTCTAAAAACCTCCCACTGGGGCTTCGGCCCAAAGCGCCGGCCACCCGGAAAGCTGGGGAAAATCCAGAGCCCATTGCTCAAATCGCCTCCAAGACAGCCAAGATGGCCTCCAAGATGGTCCCAAGACGCCTCCAAGATGGCCACGAAGGCCACGAGACAGCCCAAAATGGTCGCAAGATATCTCCAAGACGGCTCAAGATGCACTCAAGACGAAGTAAGATGGCCTCAAGATGGCCCAAGACGGCCCAAGAGGCCCGGCCCAAGAGGCCCCCAAGACGGCCCCAAGAGAGCCCAAAGACCGCCCGAGAGGCCTCCGGGACGCCCAAGATGGTCTCCAAGACGGCCAAGATGGCCCCAAGAGACCCCAAGATGGCCCCAAAATCGGTCAGCAGCTGCTGCGTCGCGCCCCATTCCAATCCCCTACGCCGTCTTCATGGATACCGCCGGGAAGGGATAGGCCCTGCCTGATTAGTCAGACCTCGCGGAGACACCTGGCAGTCGAAATGAATTCGGATCGGCTCTGCTGCTTTTTCAGCACGCTTTGCCTTCGGCACTGGCCGTTTTCGGACCCCTGGCCGACGAGCCAAAGGAGGGCCGCCCAAAAACCAGCACCAAAAATCGAGGTCTGGGGAAGGGCCCGTAGCACCCAGTCCAGGCCGTGCTTCCCCACTGCCGAGGCGATCTCGGTCGCTCGTGGCCCGTGCCTCTCTCTTGGCCCGCGCCCTCGCGTCCGACCCGTGCCCTCGTGGCCGAATTCTACTCCGGTGCGGGCTCATACTTTTGCGCCTTCTGGGCCGCTGCCCTCGTTCCCGCGATACGCCGGCAGAAAGGGGCCCTGAGAGAAAGAGGAACTGCCAGCACGCATGAACTGCTTTTTCGGCTGACCCGACTTGATCGGCCCCGATCTCTGCACGAAGGACTCAAGCGCCAACGGCTATCAAGCGCATGCGTCCCAAAAAATAAAACTGCTTCGGCATAGTCAGGCACTCTTTGTCCGTGACGCTGCTCAAAGCAAGTGCGGCAGAGTGGTGGATCCTGCTCCGGTCCCGGAGTCGGACGACCCTGCTCACAAATACTTGGCATGGAAGCTCCGTGGGATGCAGCAGAGCAACCCGACTCACCACTGCGATGCTGAGAGGAAGAGAGAACGGAATCCGCCAACGTGCCTTGTGCACGTTCAGGCGTGCATAGATGCCAAGGGCTGTCCGGTAGGGCTTCTGCATCTAACAAAGGACCCCTCCCGATCCGCGTCCCGAGCTTCCAAGACGGCCCATGCAGGCAACCGAGGACACCAAAATGGCTCAAGATGCCTCGAAGACGGCCCGACATGGCCCCGAGGCGGCCAAATATGGCCTCAAGACGACCCAAGATGCCTCCAAGAGAGCCCAAACGGGCCACAAGAAGCCAAAATCATTGATTTCCAAGAGGCATCCCAAGAGAGCCCCAAGACGGCGTAAGAGGGTCCCAGACGGCCCAAGAGGGCTCAAGGGACCCCCACGACTGCATCACAGGAGGCCAAAACAACCCAAGACGGCCCTAACGAATTCTATGAGAGCTCCTCAAATAGTGACGACGTAAAGTGTCACATGTGACGACCTTTCTCTTCCTCCACCTCCTCCAACTGCTCCTGCTCCTGCTCCTCTTCCTCCTCCTGATCCTGCTCCTTCTCCGCCTCATCATCATAATCATCATCACCACCACCCTTATTCTCATCCTCAACCTCATTCTCATCCTCGACATCCTCATCATCCCCATTAGCGTCCTCCTCCTGCTCCTCCTCATCCTCCTCCTCATCATCATCCTCCTCTTCCTCCTCCCCCTTCTCCTTCTCATCCTCATCATCATCATCAGCATCATCATCATCAGGCTCAGCATAATCAGCAGCATCATTATCTAATCATCAGCATCATCATCAGCATCATCATCATCAACAAACGTCGGCCTCATCATCATCATCAATCATCAATCAGCATCATCATCATCATTCATCAGCAGCACCAGCATGAAAATCATCATTCTGCTACTCCTTAAATCATCGTCCATCATCAACAGAACGCTGAAGCCGGTCGTCACCATAATTAGCCTACTCCTCGTCCTCCTCTATCGTCAGCTCATCATCAGCATCATAGCAGAATGCATTAACAACAAGTTGCCAATGTCACCATCATCATCATCATCATCATCATCATCATCATCGGTCGTCGTCATCATCATCGTCGCAGCAATAATCCGCATTGGGGGGCGTCCATACATCACAAAAACGGGTCGTTGTCGTCGTCGTCATCGTCATCATCATCAGCATCATCATCATCAACATCGTCCTTGTCATCATCATCATCATCATCATCAGCAGCATCATCATCATCATAAACAGCAGCAGCACCAGCATGGAAATAATCATGCTGCTCTTCTTCATCACACCGTCATTCATCAAAAAAACGCTGTCGCCGTCGTCATCATAATATCCTACTCACCGTCCTCCTCATCATCATCAGCATAATCACCACGTCATCAGGATCATGATCAACACCATCAAGCATAATCAGCGTCGTCCGATCATCATCATCATCATCATCATCATCGTCATCACATCGTCCATCATTATCGTCAGCATCATCGTCATCATCATCATCATCCTCATACAAAAAACGTCCCGTACGTCACATCAATCATCATCATCATCATTCACAATCATCCTCATGCATCATCACAACGTTTCGTGGGTTTCGTCACGGGCCATCATTGCCACATCATCAGCAGCATCATCATCGTCATCAGCATATTATTCCTCTTCATCATCATCACCATCATCAGCAGCATTATCATCATCAGCATCATCATCATCATCTTCGCTATCAAGCACCAATCGTCATCTTCATCATCATCATCATCATCATCATCATCATCACCATCATCACCAGCATCAGCACCATCATCATCAGCATCATCACGGCTCTCACACCCCCAAACAGCAGCCACCCAGAATGCTGGGCTGGCACGGTAGCGGGACTTGCCGCAGGCAGCTGGATAACCATAAATGTTCGGAGCCCCGCGCGAATTTCTTGGATCGGAGCTGGACCCCCCTCCCTGCCGCGCGGAGCGCGCCAGGGGCGGCGCAGGAGGCGCCGCCAGAGGGGCCCTACGCAGATTCAAGAAATCCGCGCGGAGCTGCGAAAATTCATGGTTATGTCGTCTGCTCTTCGTCAAGATGCCTCACGCCCCTCACTAGTCGTAGTCGGTCATATCCGCGAAGTGCGCTCCGCCGAAACACACGTCCACCATGCAGTCATGGTTGGGCATGCCGGTCTTGGACTTCCCCGTGCAAATCTGCCTGGCGTTCTCGGTCTTGTCGGTGGGGCAGTTGTTCAGGTCCGGCCGGTTCGCGGGCGTCACGGGGGTCTTGGTGTGGAAAAGCAATTCCTCTTGCGGGACACCCGTGGTGCCGATGCGGGCACGGATCTGCGGCCGGGTGTCGTCCTCGGTCACACCATTGAAGTTTCCACAGTGCCCATCCTGGTTTGGCTGCTTGCTCATGGTGATCATCGTGTTGATGTAGTCGCCCTCGCCTGGCTCGTTCCAGCGATTGATCTCCAGGTGGACGCCCAGCGGCAGGTCCACGTGCACGACGCGCAGCTGCTTGCCGTAGCGGCTCGACTGCATCACCTGCCCGTTGCCGTCGGAGACTACCTTGATCATCGGATCCTGGTTCTCCCAGGCGTCCGGGAAGCCAGAGATGATGGGGACGTCGTTGAAGGTCGCCCTGAGAGAGGAGATGCGGAGGATGTTCTTCGTGCCGTCCTTGCTCTCCAGGAAGGGGCCGCCGATCGCGACCTCCTTCATGACGGAGAGGCCGTTGGTCACTGGAGTCGGCATGTAGCGGCCCTGGATCCAGACGGTGGTGCTCTTCACGGTCCAGTACTCGCCCTGGGAGTAGAAGCTCGCTGACTGCCCATCAAACGTGATCACGTGCGGGTCGCCGAAGATCTTGCAATGCTTCGCGGGCCCTGGCCCGGGGGGCGCCGGCGTGGGGTTCACGATGGGCGGCGGGGTCTCTGGAGGCGGGGTGCTGATGATGATGGGGGGCGTTGTTGTGGTGGTCGTGGTGGTCCCCGCGAGGAAGAGGAAGGGGAGCAGCGCCAGCCACCAGAGGCAGCACAGCCACCAGACGCTGCACCCGGCCGCGGGGATCGGCACCACGGTGAAGGTGCCCGCGCCCTGGCCCACGTACTGGTAGGTGGTGGTGGCGATGTAGTCGCCGCCTGCGCCCACATACGACATCGTCGTTCCGGCTATGCCCCCGCAGCTGGCGCCTGCGACCCCGCAGCACGCGTCGCCGCACGCGGGCGCCACGCCCACCCCGCACCCGTCCGCGCCGCAGCTGTTGCCACAGCCCACACCTCCGCAGCAGCCTTCCCCACCGCCAGCATACCCCGTCCCAGGATACACGCCCCCACCGGCATAGCCCATCCCGGGGTAGACCCCGCTGCCCATCGCGCCACCGCCCACGCCGCCACCGACAAAGGCCCCGCGTGATCCCGCAACGAAGCCGCCGTTGGGGCCCGCTGCCATGAAAGAGCCGCCACGAGCACCGTAGAGGCTCATCGTCTGCACCAGGCCTGGCGACTGAACAGCAGGCACGCTGGGAGGTACGTGTCCAACCAGGGCGCTTGCGCGGGTGAGGCCTTGACCTTGGGCCAGAATGGCTACCGCACGAAGAGTCCACGAACTCTTGTATGGATCGCAGGCTCGCCCTCGCCCTCGGCGCTGAGGGACTCAAAAGATGTGCCGAAAAAGGTGGCACCATCTCAAGCACGACTCGGCTTCCATGCCATGAAGTACCCATCAGACCCTCCCCCTGGACCCCTCCGTAGAAGGCTTCACCCCAACTCAACGTCATCACGCATGCCTCGCTCTTTCCGTCGCCTGCTTAGCACGACGACAGACAGCGAGTGTACTTTGTGAGGGCGCGAGATCGCTTGCCCAGTGTCTTGGAGCCCCCTTGGTGGTGTCAAGACTTTGGTACGCAATATAAAACTAACAGCAAACCTTGCGAACATCCATGAATATGGCCTCTCGGGACCTTCTTGGGGGTCCTTTTGGGGCTCCTTTGGGCCGTCTTCGGACCCTCTTGGGTCATCCCGGGGCCCTCTTGGGCCGTCTTGGAGGGCTTGAGCCGTCTGGCGCGGAGCCCTCTGGGGCCCTCTGGGGGACATCTTGAGGCCTCGTGGGGCTCTCTTGGGAACCTTCTGGCGCCCTCAGGGGCCTTTCTTGGGCCGTCGTGGAGCTCTCCGGGGCCGTCTTGGAGCCCTCTTGGGCCGTCTTGGCGGCCTCTTTGCCGTCTTGGGGCGATTCCGGAGGTCTCTTGGGCCGTTGTGGACAAAGAAATGCCTCTGGGGCGTCCTTTTGGAGGCCTCGTGGAGTGTCTTGAGGGCCTCTTTGGCCGTCTTGAGGCCATCCTGAACCCTCTTCGAGCGCTCTCGGGCCGTCTTGGGGCCCTCTTGGGTCTCCCTGAGGCCGTCGTGGCGGTGGCTTGGGCGCTCTTGGGGCCGTCTTGAGCCGTCTTGGGCGCTCTTGGGGCCAAGCCGTCTGGGGCCGAACATGGCCGAAAATTGTGGCCACTACATTCGGGGCGGGTCCTGCCAGCCCCCTCACACTCCCCCTTGCTAAATCTACCACCTAACGGATCGCGACGCTACGCGAGCTTACCGTCATCTGGGACGGGTTCTGCTAACTCCCTCACACTCCCTCTTGATATTTCTCTCTACGAACGGATCGCGACGCTACACGCGCTTTCCGTCATCTGGGATGGGTCCTGCTAACCCCTATCACACTCCCCCTTGCTAAATCTCCCAACTGACGGATCGCGACGCTACGCGCGCTTTCCGTCATCTGGGACTGGTCCTGCCGACCCCCTCACACTCCCCTTTGTTATTTCTCACAAATAACAGATCGCGACGCTGCGCACGCTTTCCGTCATCTGGGTCCCCAGTGGCCAACCGCCTCACATTCCCCGTCCTATTTCTCCCGACTAACGGATCGTGAAGCGACGCGCGCTTTCCGTCATCCGCCGCCCCCTGTGGCTTGCCACAGGGGTGCCTGGCGTGCCAAACGTCTGGCAAAATGTGGTTCTTTTCTAAAAACCTCCCACTGGGGCTTCGGCCCAAAGCGCCGGCCGCCCAGAAAGCTGGGGAAAATCCAGAGCCCATTGCTCAAATCGCCTCCAAGACAGCCAAGATGGCCTCCAAGATGGTCCCAAGACGCCTCCAAGATGGCCACGAAGGCCCCGAGACAGCCCAAAATGGTCGCAAGATATCTCCAAGACGGCTCAAGATGCACTCAAGACGAAGTAAGATGGCCTCAAGATGGCCCAAGACGGCCCAAGAGGCCCGGCCCAAGAGGCCCCCAAGACGGCCCCAAGAGAGCCCAAAGACCGCCCGAGAGGCCTCCGGGACGCCCAAGATGGTCTCCAAGACGGCCAAGATGGCCCCAAGAGACCCCAAGATGGCCCCAAAATCGGTCAGCAGCTGCTGCGTCGCGCCCCATTCCAATCCCCTACGCCGTCTTCATGGATACCGCCGGGAAGGGATAGGCCCTGCCTGATTAGTCAGACCTCGCGGAGACACCTGGCAGTCGAAATGAATTCGGATCGGCTCTGCTGCTTTTTCAGCACGCTTTGCCTTCGGCACTGGCCGTTTTCGGACCCCTGGCCGACGAGCCAAAGGAGGGCCGCCCAAAAACCAGCACCAAAAATCGAGGTCTGGGGAAGGGCCCGTAGCACCCAGTCCAGGCCGTGCTTCCCCACTGCCGAGGCGATCTCGGTCGCTCGTGGCCCGTGCCTCTCTCTTGGCCCGCGCCCTCGCGTCCGACCCGTGCCCTCGTGGCCGAATTCTACTCCGGTGCGGGCTCATACTTTTGCGCCTTCTGGGCCGCTGCCCTCGTTCCCGCGATACGCCGGCAGAAAGGGGCCCTGAGAGAAAGAGGAACTGCCAGCACGCATGAACTGCTTTTTCGGCTGACCCGACTTGATCGGCCCCGATCTCTGCACGAAGGACTCAAGCGCCAACGGCTATCAAGCGCATGCGTCCCCCAAAAAAAAACTGCTTCGGCATAGTCAGGCACTCTTTGTCCGTGACGCTGCTCAAAGCAGGTGCGGCAGAGTGGTGGATCCTGCTCCGGTCCCGGAGTCGGACGACCCTGCTCACAAATACTTGGCATGGAAGCTCCGTGGGATGCAGCAGAGCAACCCGACTCACCACTGCGATGCGAGAGGAAGAGAGAACGGAATCCGCCAACGTGCCTTGTGCACGTTTAGGCTTGCCGAGGGCTGTCCGGTAGGGCTTCTGCATCTAACAAAGGACCCCTCCCGATCCGCGTCTCGAGCTTCCAGGACGGCCCATGCAGGCAACCGAGGACACCAAAAATGCCCCAAGACGGCTCGAAGACGGCCCGAGATGGCCCCGAGGCGGCCAAATGGGCCTCAAGACGACCCAAGATGCCTCCAAGAGAGCCCAAACGGGCCACGGTCCAAAGAAGCCAAAATCATGGATTTCCAAGAGGCATCCCAAGAGAGCCCCAAGACGGCGTAAGAGGGTCCCAGACGGCCCAAGAGGGCTCAAGGGACCCCCACGACTGCATCACAGGAGGCCAAAACAACCCAAGACGGCCCTAACGAATTCTATGAGAGCTCCTCAAATAGTGACGACGAAAAGTGTCACATGTGACGACCTTTCTCTTCCTCCACCTCCTCCAACTGCTCCTGCTCCTGCTCCTCTTCCTCCTCCTGATCCTGCTCCTTCTCCGCCTCATCATCATAATCATCATCACCACCACCCTCATTCTCATCCTCAACCTCATTCTCATCCTCGACATCCTCATCATCCCCATTAGCGTCCTCCTCCTGCTCCTCCTCATCCTCCTCCTCATCATCATCCTCCTCTTCCTCCTCCCCCTTCTCCTTCTCATCCTCATCATCATCATCAGCATCATCATCATCAGCATCAGCATAATCAGCAGCATTATTATCATAATCATCAGCATCATCATCAGCATCATCATCATCAACAACGTCGGCCTCGTCATCATCATCATCATCATCATCATCATCATCATCATCATCATCATCAGCAGCACCAGCATGAAAATCATCATACTGCTATTCTTCATCATCATCCATCATCAACAGAAACGCTGACGCCGTCGTCACCATAATTATCCTACTCCTCGTCCTCCTCATCATCGTCAGCATCATCATCAGCATCATCAGCATCAGCATTAACAACAACGTTGCCGTCGTCACCATCATCATCATCATCGTCGTCGTCATCATCATCGTCGCCATAATCAGCATCGTCCATCATCAACAAAAACGTCGTTGCCGTCGTCGTCGTCATCGTCATCATCATCAGCATCATCATCATCAACATCGTCCTTGTCATCATCATCATCATCATCATCATCATCATCAGCATCATCATCATCAGCATCATCATCATCATCATTAACAGCAGCAGCACCAGCATGGAAATTATCATGCTGCTCTTCTTCATCATCGTCCATCATCAAAAAAACGCTGTCGCCGTCGTCATCATAATTATCCTACTCACCGTCCTCCTCATCATCGTCAGCATTATCACCAGCGTCATCAGGATCAGCATCAACACCATCATCAACCACGTCGTCGTCGTCCATCATCATCATCATCATCATCGTCATCAGCATCGTCATCATTATCGTCATCATCATCGTCACCATCATCATCATCCATCATCAACAAAAACGTCGTCGTCAACATCATCATCATCATCATCAGCATCATCATCCTCATGGCATCATCAACAACGTCGTCGTCGCCATCATTGCCATCATCATCAGCAGCATCATCATCGTCATCAGCATATTCTTCCTCTTCATCATCATCACCATCATCAGCAGCATTATCATCATCAGCATCATCAGCATCATCTTCGCTATCAAGCACCAATCGCCATCATCATCATCATCATCATCATCATCCTCATCATCATCATCATCATCATCATCATCATCACCATCATCACCAGCATCAGCACCATCATCATCAGCATCATCACGGCTCTCACACCCCCAAACAGCAGCCACCCAGAATGCTGGGCTGGCACGGTAGCGGGACTTGCCGCAGGCAGCTGGATAACCATAAATGTTCGGAGCCCCGCGCGAATTTCTTGGATCGGCGCTGGACCCCCCTCCCTGCCGCGCGGAGCGCGCCAGGGGCGGCGCAGGAGGCGCCGCCAGAGGGGCCCTACGCAGATTCAAGAAATCCGCGCGGAGCTGCGAAAATTCATGGTTATGTCGTCTGCTCTTCGTCAAGATGCCCGACGCCTCTCACTAGTCGTAGTCGGTCATATCCGCGAAGTGCGCTCCGCCGAAACACACGTCCACCATGCAGTCATGGTTGGGCATGCCGGTCTTGGACTTCCCCGTGCAAATCTGCCTGGCGTTCTCGGTCTTGTCGGTGGGGCAGTTGTTCAGGTCCGGCCGGTTCGCGGGCGTCACGGGGGTCTTGGTGTGGAAAAGCAATTCCTCTTGCGGGACACCCGTGGTGCCGATGCGGGCACGGATCTGCGGCCGGGTGTCGTCCTCGGTCACACCATTGAAGTTTCCACAGTGCCCATCCTGGTTTGGCTGCTTGCTCATGGTGATCATCGTGTTGATGTAGTCGCCCTCGCCTGGCTCGTTCCAGCGATTGATCTCCAGGTGGACGCCCAGCGGCAGGTCCACGTGCACGACGCGCAGCTGCTTGCCGTAGCGGCTCGACTGCATCACCTGCCCGTTGCCGTCGGAGACTACCTTGATCATCGGATCCTGGTTCTCCCAGGCGTCCGGGAAGCCAGGATGATGGGGACGTCGTTGAAGGTCGCACTGAGAGAGGAGATGCGGAGGATGTTCTTCGTGCCGTCCTTGCTCTCCAGGAAGGGGCCGCCGATCGCGACCTCCTTCATGACGGAGAGGCCGTTGGTCACTGGAGTCGGCATGTAGCGGCCCTGGATCCAGACGGTGGTGCTCTTCACGGTCCAGTACTCGCCCTGGGAGTAGAAGCTCGCTGACTGCCCATCAAACGTGATCACGTGCGGGTCGCCGAAGATCTTGCAATGCTTCGCGGGCCCTGGCCCGGGGGGCGCCGGCGTGGGGTTCACGATGGGCGGCGGGGTCTCTGGAGGCGGGGTGCTGATGATGATGGGGGGCGTTGTTGTGGTGGTCGTGGTGGTCCCCGCGAGGAAGAGGAAGGGGAGCAGCGCCAGCCACCAGAGGCAGCACAGCCACCAGACGCTGCACCCAGCCGCGGGGATCGGCACCACGGTGAAGGTGCCCGCGCCCTGGCCCACGTACTGGTAGGTGGTGGTGGCGATGTAGTCGCCGCCTGCGCCCACATACGACATCGTCGTTCCGGCTATGCCCCCGCAGCTGGCGCCCGCGACCCCGCAGCACGCGTCGCCGCACGCGGGCGCCACGCCCACCCCGCACCCGTCCGCGCCGCAGCTGTTGCCACAGCCCACACCTCCGCAGCAGCCTTCCCCACCGCCAGCATACCCCGTCCCAGGATACACGCCCCCACCGGCATAGCCCATCCCGGGGTAGACCCCGCTGCCCATCGCGCCACCGCCCACGCCGCCACCGACAAAGGCCCCGCGTGATCCCGCAACGAAGCCGCCGTTGGGGCCCGCTGCCATGAAAGAGCCGCCACGAGCACCGTAGAGGCTCATCGTCTGCACCAGGCCTGGCGACTGAACAGCAGGCACGCTGGGAGGTACGTGTCCAACCAGGGGCGCTTGCGCGGGTGAGGCCTTGACCTTGGGCCAGAATGGCTACCGCACGAAGAGTCCACGAACTCTTGTATGGATCGCAGGCTCGCCCTCGCCCTCGGCGCTGAGGGACTCAAAAGATGTGCCGAAAAAGGTGTCACCATCTCAAGCACGACTCGGCTTCCATGCCATGAAGTACCCATCAGACCCTCTCCCTGGACCCCTCCGTAGAAGGCTTCACCCCAACTCAACGTCATCACTCATACCTCGCTCTTTCCGTCGCCTGCTTAGCACGACGACAGACAGCGCGTGTACTTTGTGAGGGCGCGAGATCGCTTGCCCAGTGTCTTGGAGCCCTCTTGGTGTCAAGACTTTGGTACGTAATACAAGAAACTAACAGCAAACCTTGCGAACATCCATGAATATGGCCGCTCGGGGCCTTCTTGGGGGTCCTTTTGGGGCTCCTTTGGGCCGTCTTCGGACCCTCTTGGGTCATCCCGGGGCCCTCTTGGGCAGTCTTGGAGGGCTTGGGCCGTCTGGCGCGGAGCCCTCTGGGGCCCTCTGGGGGACATCCTGAGGCCTCGTGGGGCTCTCGGGGGAACCTTCTGGCGCCCTCAGGGGCCTTTCTTGGGCCGTCGTGGAGCTCTCCGGGGCCGTCTTGGAGCCCTCTTGGGCCGTCTTGGGGGCCTCTTTGCCGTCTTGGGGCGATTCTGCAGGTCTCTTGGGCCGTTGTGGACGAAGAAATGCCTCTGGGGCGTCCTTTTGGAGGCCTCGTGGAGCGTCTTGAGGGCCTCTTTGGCCGTCTTGAGGCCATCCTGAGCCCTCTTTGAGCGCTCTCGGGCCGTCTTGGGGCCGTCTTGGGGCCCTCTTGGGTCTCCCTGAGGCCGTCGTGGCTTGGGCGCTCTTGGGGCCGTCTTGAGCCGTCTTGGGCGCTCTTGGGGCCAACTTGGGCCGTCTGGGGCCGAACATGGCCGAAAATTGCGGCCACTACATTCGGGGCGGGTCCTGCCAGCCCCCTCACACTCCCCCTTGCTAAATCTCCCACCTAACGGATCGCGACGCTACGCGCGCTTTCCGTCATCTGGGACGGGTCCTGCCGACACCCTCACACTCCCCTTTGTTATTTCTCACAAATAACAGATCGCGACGCTGTGCACGCTTTCGGTCATCTGGGTCCCCAGTGGCCAACCGCCTCACATTCCCCTTCCTAGTTCTCCCGACTCACGGATCGTGAAGCGACGCGCGCTTTCCGTCATCCGCCGCCCCCTGTGGCTTGCCACAGGGGTGCCTGGCGTGCCAAACGTCTGGCAAGCTGTGGCTATTTTCTAAAAACCTCCCACTGGGGCTTCGTCCCAACTCGCCGGCCACCCGGAAAGCTGGGGAAAATCCAGAGCCCATTGCTCAAATCGCCTCCAAGACAGCCAAGATGGCCTCCAAGATGGTCCCAAGACGCCTCCAAGATGGCCACGAAGGCCCCGAGAGAGCCCAAGATGGTCGCAAGATGTCTCCAAGACGGCTCAAGATGCACTCAAGACGGACTAAGATGGCCTCAAGATGGCCCAAGACGGCCCAAGAGGCCTGGCTCAAGAGGCCTGGCCCAAGAGGCCCCCAAGACGGCCCCAAGAGAGCCCAAAGACCGCCCGAGAGGCCTCCAAGACGCCCAAGATGGTCTCCAAGACGGCCAAGATGGCCCCAAGAAACCCCAAGATGGCCCCAAAATGTCTCCAAGACTGCTCAAAATGCACCCCAAACGGCTAAACATGGCCGCAAGATGGCCCAAGACGGCCCAAGGAGCCCAGAATAAGCCTCAATGATTTTGGCGTTTGCTTATTTTCAGCTTTCCGACAGTCCACGACGGCCCTAGAGGCCACCAAGATGGCCCCAAAACCGCACAACGAAAGGCCTCCGAGATGGCCCCCAGACGGCCCAAGAGGCTCCCAAGACGGCCCCAAGAGAGCCCAAAGACCGCCCAAGAGGCCTCCAGGATGCCCAAGATGGTCTCCAAGACAGCCACCCAAGAGTGCCCCAAATCGGCCCAGAGAGGCCACAAAGACGGCGTCCGACAGCGTCAGACGTGCCAGAACGCCCTCAGACGGCCAAAGAGCCGCTACAAGGCCCCCAAGGGGCCCAAGGAAGCCCCCAAGAGACCTCCGCGAGGCCCTCGGGAAGCCCCAAGGAGGTCGCAAGAGTGCCCAAAGAGGCTCCATCTTCCTCCTCCTCCTCCTCCTCCTCCTCCTCCTCCTCCTCCTCCTCCTCCTCCTCCTTCTCATCCTACTCCTCCTCATTCTCCTCATTATTTGTCCTCCCTCTCCTCATCTTCTTCTGTCTCTCCCACGTGTTCCCCGAAAGCTTTCCACAACGGCTGGGGGAACACGTAGCCCGACGGCTTAGCCGAGCTATGTAAGGTTCGGCCACATAGGCACTTCCGAAAAGGCAGGGGGCTGCGGTGATTCGCCGTAGGCGTCGTCGATAACGAGACGCAGGGCGCTTCGCAGGGTCATCAGACGAAGCTGGCCAGGCCACATCAGGTCAGTGCATCTCCGAGCCTGGAGTTGCCAGGATGTCGCGAGGATGTCTCAGGCGAAACTGGCTGGACGATCTACCGCGCGACAGGCTATACGGCCTGGCCCACCTCAGGTCATGGCCCCTCGAACCCAGAGGTGCGAAGGTGTTAAATTTCATTCGTGGGGACTGGGAAGCCAGCGTGACCACACCCATGTATGTTGCACCCGTGTCTCGTAGATGTAGCAAATACATGTTCATATATGTATATATGTGTGTTATCCCCGCTTGGCGCGCGCACCATTTTACATCGTTCCCCTCGAGCGCCTGCCAAAAAATCGCGGCGGGAAAAGGACATGGAACAGGGAAAATAATGAGCAGGTAGGCAGGAGGAGTAACAGGAAGAGGTCTGGGCGCAAGAGCAAGAACACGAGCATGGCTGGGATGGGCATTGAAAGCAAGAAAAGGACAGCGAGGACGAAGCAGCAGGTGGAGAAGAGAACTGAGGTGGAGAAGAAGATTGATGAAGCAGCTCGAGGAAAAAATGCGAACACGAATTTGGCCCAGAAGGGGCGGGCGCTCTTTGGGAGCTGACTCAAGAAAGAGATGTGGTAGAAGATGATCCATTACAGAAGAGGACATGGTGAGGTTTCACCCCAACCCCAGCCCTGCTTGTCGGAAGCCCCAAATGTGCTCTTCATACCCTTGGCGGCCCCGGAAAGGCGAAACCTTCTGGAAGCTAACAGACCGAACTAGGCTAGCCAGCGCGGAACCCAAACAGTGAGCTATTGCTCGGAAGCTGGGCGAAAGCTCGCAAATCCGTGGCTGCTAAAACGGCTTCCCCGGAAGAAAAAAGAAATTCCCGGAATGAGACTCAACGCGCCAAACAATAAACGGGCTGCTTCCCGGAAGAAAAAACAATTTCCCAGAGCTCCGTTTGAGCAGCCACAGAATTGCCAGCCTTCGCCTGGCTTCTGAATTGCAGTGGAGACGGGAACTATGCGGTGCAAGCTCTGTGAGCTGATGAGGTGAAAGCTATGCGATGCAATGTAAACGGTGTGAACTATGTCGAGTAGTGCAGTTGCTGTGAGCTGGATGTGAAACCTGTGCGGCGCAAGCCATGTGGTGTAAGCTATGTCGTGTAAGCTACGCCGTGACAGAGGCTACGTGGTGTAAGCTCAACGCACGGAGCACGCACCAGCGCCCACGAGGTTGCAAAGGGCGGCAACGCCGCGCAACTTAGGCGGACCCACCCGGCGCACGGAGCGCCCACGAGCGCCCGCGAGGCGGCACAGGGCGGCAACGCGGCGCACCCCGGGCGGACCCGCCCAGCGCACGGGGCGCCCAGGAGCGCCCGCGAGGCGGCAGAGGGCGGCAACGTGGCGCAAACCCTCGGCGGACCCACCCAGCGCACGGGGCGCCCACGAGCGCCGACGGGGCGGCACAGGGGCGGCAACGTGGAAAATCCTCACGAGTCAGCACATCTGAGTGCAAGCACTGTCTGAGGAAAAACATGCCGCGTCTAGCCCCGACGACATCGGGCCAAGCTTAGCGCGTGGGAAGACATCCCCCGTGAGCCGCTGGCAACTGTCGAGCGGTCAGCAGCTGCTGCGTCGCGCCCCAACCCAATCCCCTACGCCGTCTTCATGGATACCGCCGGGAAGGGATGGGCCCTGCCTGATTAGGCAGACCTCGCGGAGACACCTGGCAGTCGAAATGAATTCGGATCGGCTCTGCTGCTTTTTCAACACGCTTTGCCTTCGGCACTGGCCGTTTTCGGACCCCTGGCCGACGAGCCAAAGGAGGGCCGCCCAAAAATCAGCACCAAAAATCGAGGTCTGGGGAAGGGCCCGTACCACCCAGTCCAGGCCGTGCTTCCCCATTGCCGAGGCGATCTTGGTCGCTCGTGGCCCGTGCCTCTCCCTTGGCCCGCGCCCTCGCGTCCGACCCGTGCCCTCGTGGCCGAATTCTGCTCCGGCGCGGGCTCATACTTTTGCGCCTTCTGGGCCGCTGCCCTCGTTCCCGCGATACGCCGGCAGAAAGGGGCCCTGAGAGAAAGAGGAGCTGCCAGCACGCATGAACTGCTTTTTCGGCTGACCCGACTTGATCGGCCCCGATCTCTGCACGAAGGACTCTAGCGCCAACGGCTATCAAGCGCATGCGTCCCAAAAAATAAAACTGCTTCGGCAGGGTCAGGCACTCTTTGTCCGTGACGCTGCTCAAAGCAGGTGCGGCAGAATGGTGGATCCTGCTCCGGTCCCGGAGTCGGACGACCCTGCTCACAAATACTTGGCATGGAAGCTCCGTGGGATGCAGCAGAGCAACCCGACTCACCACTGCGATGCTAGTGGAAGAGAGAACGGAATCCGCCAACGTGCCTTGTGCACGTTTAGGCGTGCATAGATGCCAAGGGCTGTCCGGTAGGGCTTCTGTATCTAACAAAGGACCCCTCCCGATCCGCGTCCCGAGCTTCCAAGACGGCCCATGCAGGCAACCGAGGACACCAAAATGGCCCAAGATGCCTCGAAGACGGCCCGAGATGGCCCAGAGGCGGCCAAATGGGCCTCAAGACGACCCGAGATGCCTCCAAGAGAGCCCAAACGGGCCACGGTCCAAAGAAGCCAAAATCATTGATTTCCAAGAGGCATCCCAAGAGAGCCCCAAGACGGCGTAAGAGGGCCCCAGACGGCCCAAGAGGGCTCAAGGGACCCCCACGACTGCCTCACAGGAGGCCCAAACAACCCAAGACGGCCCAAACGAGTTCCATGAGAGCTCCTCACATAGTGAATACGAAAAGTGTCACATGTGACGACCTTCCTCTTCCTCCACCTCCTCCAACTGCTCCTGCTCCTGCTCCTCTTCCTCCTCCTGATCCTGCTCCTTCTCCGCCTCATCATCATAATCATCATCACCACCACCCTCATTCTCATCCTCAACCTCATTCTCATCCTCGACATCCTCATCATCCCCATTAGCGTCCTCCTCCTGCTCCTCCTCATCCTCCTCCTCCTCCTCATCATCCTCCTCTTCCTCCTCCCCCTTCTCCTTCTCATCCTCATCATCATCATCAGCATCATCATCATCAGCATCAGCATAATCAGCAGCATCATTATCATAATCATCAGCATCATCATCAGCATCATCATCATCAACAACGTCGGCCTCGTCATCATCATCATCATCATCATCATCATCATCATCATCATCATCATCAGCAGCACCAGCATGAAAATCATCATACTGCTATTCTTCATCATCATCCATCATCAACAGAAACGCTGACGCCGTCGTCACCATAATTATCCTACTCCTCGTCCTCCTCATCATCGTCAGCATCATCATCAGCATCATCAGCATCAGCATTAACAACAACGTTGCCGTCGTCACCGTCATCATCATCATCGTCGTCGTCATCATCATCGTCGCCATAATCAGCATCGTCCATCATCAACAAAAACGTCGTTGTCGTCGTCGTCGTCATCGTCATCATCATCAGCATCATCATCAACATCGTCCTTGTCATCATCATCATCATCATCATCATCATCATCATCATCATCAGCATCATCATCATCAGCATCATCATCATTAACAGCAGCAGCACCAGCATGGAAATTATCATGCTGCTCTTCTTCATCATCGTCCATCATCAAAAAAACGCTGTCGCCGTCGTCATCATAATTATCCTACTCACCGTCCTCCTCATCATCGTCAGCATAATCACCAGCGTCATCAGGATCAGCATCAACACCATCATCAACCACGTCGTCGTCGTCCATCATCATCATCATCATCATCATCATCTTCATCATCATCATCATCATCATCATCATCATCATCATCATCGTCATCAGCATCGTCATCATTATCGTCATCATCATCGTCACCATCATCATCATCCATCATCAACAAAAACGTCGTCGTCAACATCATCATCATCATCATCAGCATCATCATCCTCATGGCATCATCAACAACGTCGTCGTCGCCATCATTGCCATCATCATCAGCAGCATCATCATCGTCATCAGCATATTCTTCCTCTTCATCATCATCAGCAGCATGATCATCATCAGCATCATCAGCATCATCTTCGCTATCAAGCACCAATCGTCATCATCATCATCATCATCATCATCATCATCATCATCATCATCACCATCATCATCATCATCATCATCATCACCATCATCACCAGCATCAGCACCATCATCATCAGCATCATCACGGCTCTCACACCCCCAAACAGCAGCCACCCAGAATGCTGGGCTGGCACGGTAGCGGGACTTGCCGCAGGCAGCTGGATAACCATAAATGTTCGGAGCCCCGCGCGAAGTTCTTGGATCGGCGCTGGACCCCCCTCCCTGCCGCGCGGAGCGCGCCAGGGGCGGCGCAGGAGGCGCCGCCAGAGGGGCCCTACGCAGATTCAAGAAATCCGCGCGGAGCTGCGAAAATTCATGGTTATGTCGTCTGCTCTTCGTCAAGATGCCCGACGCCCCTCACTAGTCGTAGTCGGTCATATCCGCGAAGTGCGCTCCGCCGAAACACACGTCCACCATGCAGTCATGGTTGGGCATGCCGGTCTTGGACTTCCCCGTGCAAATCTGCCTGGCGTTCTCGGTCTTGTCGGTGGGGCAGTTGTTCAGGTCCGGCCGGTTCGCGGGCGTCACGGGGGTCTTGGTGTGGAAAAGCAATTCCTCTTGCGGGACACCCGTGGTGCCGATGCGGGCACGGATCTGCGGCCGGGTGTCGTCCTCGGTCACACCATTGAAGTTTCCACAGTGCCCATCCTGGTTTGGCTGCTTGCTCATGGTGATCATCGTGTTGATGTAGTCGCCCTCGCCTGGCTCGTTCCAGCGATTGATCTCCAGGTGGACGCCCAGCGGCAGGTCCACGTGCACGACGCGCAGCTGCTTGCCGTAGCGGCTCGACTGCATCACCTGCCCGTTGCCGTCGGAGACTACCTTGATCATCGGATCCTGGTTCTCCCAGGCGTCCGGGAAGCCAGTGATGATGGGGACGTCGTTGAAGGTCGCACTGAGAGAGGAGATGCGGAGGATGTTCTTCTTGCCGTCCTTGCTCTCCAGGAAGGGGCCGCCGATCGCGACCTCCTTCATGACGGAGAGGCCGTTGGTCACTGGAGTCGGCATGTAGCGGCCCTGGATCCAGACGGTGGTGCTCTTCACGGTCCAGTACTCGCCCTGGGAGTAGAAGCTCGCTGACTGCCCATCAAACGTGATCACGTGCGGGTCGCCGAAGATCTTGCAATGCTTCGCGGGCCCTGGCCCGGGGGGCGCCGGCGTGGGGTTCACGATGGGCGGCGGGGTCTCTGGAGGCGGGGTGCTGATGATGATGGGGGGCGTTGTTGTGGTGGTCGTGGTGGTCCCCGCGAGGAAGAGGAAGGGGAGCAGCGCCAGCCACCAGAGGCAGCACAGCCACCAGACGCTGCACCCAGCCGCGGGGATCGGCACCACGGTGAAGGTGCCCGCGCCCTGGCCCACGTACTGGTAGGTGGTGGTGGCGATGTAGTCGCCGCCTGCGCCCACATACGACATCGTCGTTCCGGCTATGCCCCCGCAGCTGGCGCCCGCGACCCCGCAGCACGCGTCGCCGCACGCGGGCGCCACGCCCACCCCGCACCCGTCCGCGCCGCAGCTGTTGCCACAGCCCACACCTCCGCAGCAGCCTTCCCCACCGCCAGCATACCCCGTCCCAGGATACACGCCCCCACCGGCATAGCCCATCCCGGGGTAGACCCCGCTGCCCATCGCGCCACCGCCCACGCCGCCACCGACAAAGGCCCCGCGTGATCCCGCAACGAAGCCGCCGTTGGGGCCCGCTGCCATGAAAGAGCCGCCACGAGCACCGTAGAGGCTCATCGTCTGCACCAGGCCTGGCGACTGAACAGCAGGCACGCTGGGAGGTACGTGTCCAACCAGGGACGCTTGCGCGGGTGAGGCCTTGACCTTGGGCCAGAATGGCTACCGCACGAAGAGTCCACGAACTCTTGTATGGATCGCAGGCTCGCCCTCGCCCTCGGCGCTGAGGGACTCAAAAGATGTGCCGAAAAAAAAGGTGGCACCCTCAAGCACGATCGGCTTTCCATGCCATGAAGTACCCATCAGACCCTCCCTGGACCCCTCCGTAGAAGGCTTCACCCCAACTCAACGTCATCACGCATGCCTCGCTCTTTCCGTCGCCTGCTTAGCACGACGACAGACAGCGAGTGTACTTTGTGAGGGCGCGAGATCGCTTGCCCAGTGTCTTGGAGCCCCCTTGGTGGTGTCAAGACTTTGGTACGCAATATAGAAAACTAACAGCAAACCTTGCGAACATCCATGAATATGGCCTCTCGGGGCCTTCTTGGGGGTCCTTTTGGGGCTCCTTTGGGCCGTCTTCGGACCCTCTTGGGTCATCCCGGGGCCCTCTTGGGCCGTCTTGGAGGGCTTGGGCCGTCTGGCGCGGAGCCCTCTGGGGCCCTCTGGGGGACATCCTGAGGCCTCGTGGGGCTCTCTCGGGAACCTTCTGGCGCCCTCAGGGGCCTTTCTTGGGCCGTCGTGGAGCTCTCCGGGGCCGTCTTGGAGCCATCTTGGGCCGTCTTGGCGGCCTCTTTGCCGTCTTGGGGCGATTCCGGAGGTCTCTTGGGCCGTTGTGGACAAAGAAATGCCTCTGGGGCGTCCTTTTGGAGGCCTCGTGGAGTGTCTTGAGGGCCTCTTTGGCCGTCTTGAGGCCATCCTGAACCCTCTTCGAGCGCTCTCGGGCCGTCTTGGGGCCCTCTTGGGTCTCCCTGAGGCCGTCGTGGCGGTGGCTTGGGCGCTCTTGGGGCCGTCTTGAGCCGTCTTGGGCGCTCTTGGGGCCAAGCCGTCTGGGGCCGAACATGGCCGAAAATTGTGGCCACTACATTCGGGGCGGGTCCTGCCAGCCCCCTCACACTCCCCCTTGCTAAATCTCCCACCTAACGGATCGCGACGCTACGCGAGCTTACCGTCATCTGGGACGGGTTCTGCTAACTCCCTCACACTCCCTCTTGATATTTCTCTCTACGAACGGATCGCGACGCTACACGCGCTTTCCGTCATCTGGGATGGGTCCTGCTAACCCCTATCACACTCCCCCTTGCTAAATCTCCCAACTGACGGATCGCGACGCTACGCGCGCTTTCCGTCATCTGGGACTGGTCCTGCCGACCCCCTCACACTCCCCTTTGTTATTTCTCACAAATAACAGATCGCGACGCTGCGCACGCTTTCCGTCATCTGGGTCCCCAGTGGCCAACCGCCTCACATTCCCCCTCCTATTTCTCCCGACTAACGGATCGTGAAGCGACGCGCGCTTTCCGTCATCCGCCGCCCCCTGTGACTTGCCACAGGGGTGCCTGGCGTGCCAAACGTCTGGCAAAATGTGGCTCTTTTCTAAAAACCTCCCACTGGGGCTTCGGCCCAAAGCGCCGGCCACCCGGAAAGCTGGGGAAAATCCAGAGCCCATTGCTCAAATCGCCTCCAAGACAGCCAAGATGGCCTCCAAGATGGTCCCAAGACGCCTCCAAGATGGCCACGAAGGCCCCGAGACAGCCCAAAATGGTCGCAAGATATCTCCAAGACGGCTCAAGATGCACTCAAGACGAAGTACGATGGCCTCAAGATGGCCCAAGACGGCCCAAGAGGCCCGGACCAAGAGGCCCCCAAGACGGCCCCAAGGGAGCCCAAAGACCGCCCGAGAGGCCTAAGGACGCCCAAGATGGTCTCCAAGACGGCCAAGATGGCCCCAAGAGACCCCAAGATGGCCCCAAAATCGGTCAGCAGCTGCTGCGTCGCGCCCCATTCCAATCCCCTACGCCGTCTTCATGGATACCGCCGGGAAGGGATAGGCCCTGCCTGATTAGTCAGACCTCGCGGAGACACCTGGCAGTCGAAATGAATTCGGATCGGCTCTGCTGCTTTTTCAGCACGCTTTGCCTTCGGCACTGGCCGTTTTCGGACCCCTGGCCGACGAGCCAAAGGAGGGCCGCCCAAAAACCAGCACCAAAAATCGAGGTCTGGGGAAGGGCCCGTAGCACCCAGTCCAGGCCGTGCTTCCCCACTGCCGAGGCGATCTCGGTCGCTCGTGGCCCGTGCCTCTCTCTTGGCCCGCGCCCTCGCGTCCGACCCGTGCCCTCGTGGCCGAATTCTACTCCGGCGCGGGCTCATATTTTTGTGCCGTCTGGGCCGCTGCCCTCGTTCCCGCGATACGCCGGCAGAAAGGGGCCCTGAGAGAAAGAGGAACCGCCAGCACGCATGAACTGCTTTTTCGGCTGACCCGACTTGATCGGGCCCGATCTCTACACGAAGGACTCTAGCGCCAACGGCTATCAAGCGCATGCGTCCCAAAAAATAAAACTGCTTCGGCAGAGTCAGGCACTCTTTGTCCGTGACGCTGCTCAAAGCAGTTGCGGCAGAATGGTGGATCCTGCTCCGGTCCCGGAGTCGGACGACCCTGCTCACAAATACTTGGCATGGAAGCTCCGTGAGATGCAGCAGAGCAACCCGACTCACCACTGCGATGCTAGTGGAAGAGAGAACGGAATCCGCCAACGTGCCTTGTGCACGTTTAGGCGTGCATAGATGCCAAGGGCTGTCCGGTAGGGCTTCTGTATCTAACAAAGGACCCCTCCCGATCCGCGTCCCGAGCTTCCAGGACGGCCCATGCAGGCAACCGAGGACACCAAAAATGGCCCAAGGTGCCTCGAAGACGGCCCGAGATGGCCCCGAGGCGGCCAAATGGGCCTCAAGACGACCCGAGATGCCTCCAAGAGAGCCCAAACGGGCCACGGTCCGAAGAAGCCAAAATCATTGATTTCCAAGAGGCATCCCAAGAGAGCCCCAAGACGGCGTAAGAGGGCCCCAGACGGCCCAAGAGGGCTCAAGGGACCCCCACGACTGCCTCACAGGAGGCCCAAACAACCCAAGACGGCCCAAACGAGTTCCATGAGAGCTCCTCACATAGTGAATACGAAAAGTGTCACCTATGACGACCTTCCTCTTCCTCCACCTCCTCCTCCTCCTCCTGCTCCTGCTCATGCTCCTGCTCCTCCTCCTCCTCCTCCTCCTCCACCTCCTCCAACTGCTCCTGCTCCTGCTCCTCTTCCTCCTCCTGATCCTGCTCCTTCTCCGCCTCATCATCATAATCATCATCACCACCACCCTCATTCTCATCCTCAACCTCATTCTCATCCTCGACATCCTCATCATCCCCATTAGCGTCCTCCTCCTGCTCCTCCTCATCCTCCTCCTCATCATCATCCTCCTCTTCCTCCTCCCCCTTCTCCTTCTCATCCTCATCATCATCATCAGCATCATCATCATCATCATCAGCATCAGCATAATCAGCAGCATCATTATCATAATCATCAGCATCATCATCAGCATCATCATCATCAACAACGTCGGCCTCGTCATCATCATCATCATCATCATCATCATCATCATCAGCATCATCATCATCAGCATCATCATCATCAGCAGCAGCACCAGCATGAAAATCATCATACTGCTATTCTTCATCATCATCATCCATCATCAACAGAAACGCTGACGCCGAAGTCACCATAATTATCCTACTCCTCGTCCTCCTCATCATCGTCAGCATCATCATCAGCATCATCAGCATCAGCATTAACAACAACGTTGCCGTCGTCACCATCATCATCATCATCATCGTCGTCGTCATCATCATCGTCGCCATAATCAGCATCGTCCATCATCAACAAAAACGTCGTTGTCGTCGTCGTCGTCGTCATCGTCATCATCATCAGCATCATCATCATCAACATCGTCCTTGCCATCATCATCATCATCATCATCATCATCATCATCATCATCAGCATCATCATCATCAGCATCATCATCATCATTAACAGCAGCAGCACCAGCATGGAAATTATCATGCTGCTCTTCTTCATCATCGTCCATCATCAAAAAAACGCTGTCGCCGTCGTCATCATAATTATCCTACTCACCGTCCTCCTCATCATCGTCAGCATAATCACCAGCGCCATCAGGATCAGCATCAACACCATCATCAACCACGTCGTCGTCGTCCATCATCATCATCATCATCATCATCGTCATCAGAATCGTCATCATTATCGTCATCATCATCGTCACCATCATCATCATCCATCATCAACAAAAACGTCGTCGTCAACATCATCATCATCATCAGCAGCATCATCATCATCCTCATGGCATCATCAACAACGTCGTCGTCGCCATCATTGCCATCATCATCAGCAGCATCATCATCTTCATCATCATCTTCTTCCTATTCATCATCATCACCCATCCTCAGCAGGCATTATCATCGTCAGCATCATCAAGCATCATCTTCGCTTTCAAGCACAATCGTCATTCATCATCATTCATCATCATCGTCATCATCATCATCTATCATCACCATCATCACCAGCATCAGCACCATCATCATCAGCATCATCCGGTCTCCACCACCCCCAAACAGCAGCCACCAGAATGCTGGGCTGGCACGGTTAGCGGGATTGCCGGCAGGCAGCTGGATATCCATAAATGTTCGGAGCCCCGCGCGATTTCTTGGATCGGCGCTGGCGACCCCCCTCCCTGCCGCGCGGGATGCGCGCCCAGGGGCGGGCGCAGAGGCGCCGCCAGAGGGGCCCTACGCAGATTCAAGAAATCCGCGCGGAGCTGCGAAAATTCATGGTTATGGTCGTCTGTCTTCGTCATGATGCCCGACGCCCCTCATAGTCGTAGTCGGTCATGTCCGCGAAGTGTGCCCCTCCGAAGCACACGTCTACCATGCAGTCGTGGTTGGGCATGCCGGTCTTGGACTTCCCCGTGCAGATCTGCCGGGCGTTCTCGGTCTTGTCGGTGGGGCAGTTGTTGAGGTCTGGCCGGTTCGCGGGCGTCACGGGGGTCTTGGTGTGGAAGAGCAGTTCCTCTGGCGGGACACCCATGGTGCCGATACGAGCGCGGATCTGCGGCCGGGTGTCGTCCTCGAGCACACCGTTGAAGTTTCCACAGTGGCCGTCCTGGTTCGGCTGCTTGCTCATGGTGATCATCGTGTTGATGTAGTCGCCCTCGCCCGGCTCGTTCCAGCGGTTGATCTCCAGGTGGACGCCCAGCGGCAGGTCCACGTGCACGACGCGCAGCTGCTTGCCGTAGCGGCTCGACTGCATCACCTGCCCGTTCCCGTCAGAGACCACCTTGATCATAGGATCCTGGTTCTCCCAGGCGTCCGGGAAGCCGGCGATGATGGGGACGTCGTTGAAGGTCGCCCTGAGGGAGGAGATGCGGAGGACATTCTTCGTGCCATCCTTGCTCTCCAGGAAGGGGCCGCCGATCGCAACCTCTTTCATGACGGAGAGGCCGTTGGTCACAGGAGTCGGCATGTAGCGGCCCCATGTCTGCGAAGTGCTCCCCTCCGAAGCACACGTCGATCATGCAGTCTTTGTTGGGAATGCCAGTCTTAGACTTCCCCGTGCAGAGCTCCTTGGCCCTCTCAGTCTTGTCGGTCGCGCAATTGTTGAGGTCGGGCCGGTTCGCGGGCGTCACAGGGGTCTTGGTGTGGAAGAGCAGTTCCCCTTGCGGGACACCCGTGGTGCCGATGCGGGCGCGGATTGCCGGCCTGGTGTCGTCTTCAAGCACACCGTTGAAATTTCCACAGTGGCCGTCTTGGTTGGGCTGCATGCTCATGGTGATCATCGTGTTGATGTAATCTCCCTCGCCCGGCTCGTTCCAGCGGTTGATCTCCAGGTGGACGTTGAGCGGCAAGTCCACGTGCACGACGCGCATGTCCTTGCCGTGGCGGCTCGATTGCATCACCTGCCCGCTGCCGTCGGTGACAACCTTGATCATCGGGTCCTGGTTCTCCCAGGCGTCCGGAAAGCCGGAGATGATGGGGATGTCGTTGAAGGTCGCTCTGAGGGAGGAGATGCGGAGGACGTTCTTCGTGCCGTCCTTGCCCTCCAGGAAGGGCCCGCCGATCGCGATCTCCTTCATGACGGAGAGGCCGTTGGTCACCGGAGTCGGCATGTAGCGGCCCTGCATCCAGACGGTGGTGCTGGTGGTGCTCTTCACATCCAGTATCAGCCCTTAGAGTAGAAGCTTGCTGACTGCCCGTCAACCGTCACCACGTGCGGGCCCGCCGCCATGAAAGATCCGCCACGGGCGCCCTGGGAAGCTCATCGCTGACCGGGCCTTGCGGCGCGTCTGGTCCAACTCTTGTGCCGGAAAAAGCTTGAGCCAAAACGGCTACGGACCCAACCTGCGATAATGATGAGGATCCTTCTGGGACAGTTGAAAGAAACTCATGCGAGGAAGCATGGCGCGTCGACCACCAGGAGCTGTGCCGCTGCTGCTTCATCGCCGCTGCGGCCCCCCACCGCCGATGCACCTGGCTCAGGGGAGTCTGCGCCAGGCCTCCTCAAAGAGACCAGAGGCCAGATGCCAGCAAGAGGCACCCGGAGAGCCCACGGGACAACCCACGGGAAGCAATCCACAAGACACCCGCGGGCACCCGGCCGCGGGGATCGGCCCCGGAGAAGGTGCCAACCCTGGCCAACGTACTGGTAAGTGTCATGGCGATGTAATCGCCGCCCATCCCACATACGAGACATCGTTTTTCCAGCGATGCCCCGCAACTGGCGCCCGCGACCCCCGCAACTGGCGCCCGCGACCCCGCAGCACGCGTCACCGCACGCGGGCGCCACGCCCACTCCGCACCCGTCCGCGCCGCAGCTGTTGCCGCAGCCCACGCCTCCGCAGCACCCCCCTCCACCACCGGCGTAGCCCATCCCAGGGTAGGCGGCCCCGCTGGCGAAGGCCCCGCGGGAGCCCGCGGCCCAGCCACCGTGCGGGCCCGCCGCCATGAAAGATCCGCCACGGGCGCCCACGAAGCTCATCGCTGACCGGGCCTTGCGGCGCGTCTGGTCCAACTCTTGTGCCGGAAAAAGCTTGAGCCAAAACGGCTACGGACCCAACCTGCGATAATGATGAGGATCCTTCTGGGACAGTTGAAAGAAACTCATGCGAGGAAGCATGGCGCGTCGACCACCAGGAGCTGTGCCGCTGCTGCTTCATCGCCGCTGCGGCCCCCCACCGCCGATGCACCTGGCTCAGGGGAGTCTGCGCCAGGCCTCCTCAAAGAGACCAGAGGCCAGATGCCAGCAAGAGGCACCCGGAGAGCCCACGGGACAACCCACGGGACAATCCACAAGACACCCGCGGGCAAACCCCGCGGAACCCCGCGGAACCCCGCGAGAAGAGAGGCAAATCCGCCAACCCTTCGGCGTGTGCGAGACGCCGTCGTCGCCTTCGTCATCGGCCATCGTCGTCGCCAGTCCCAAGGAAATCTAGGAAAGAAAAGAGAAAGCAACAATTATTAGATGTCGAGCGATCCCCACCGAAACCTTCGACATCATCTGCTTTGTCATGATGTAGTATGATGTATGATGTGATGGTGTGTGTTATGGTGTGGCTTGTTCTGTCATGTTGTAGTATGGGATGCTCCGTTATGCCATGTTGTGATATGATGTGTTGCTTTATGGTATGGATGCTCCAACGTGTCATAACATGCATATGGTTATGAGATGCTGCGATAATACATGGTATGCCATGTCATGTGATGGTGTGGCGTGCTAGGTTGTGGTATGCTCAGCTCTGCAATGGTTGATTATGGTATGTTAGATGAGTCATGGGATGGAATGAGTGCTGTGATGCTAAGCTATGGCATGCACTGCTCTGTCATGGTGTACTATCTTACGATATGCTCTGTCATGATATGGTCTGACATGCTCGGATATGTCATGTTCGGTGGTGTGGTGTTCTGCTCTGTTCTGTGGGGAACCTGGGGATCTGGCGGCCGCGGTATGCAGAGTGGGCGAGTCGGCGCGGGGGGCGGAACCCTCAGGGATCATCGGCGACCTGGGGGTCTGGCGGCCGCAGTATGCAGAGTGGGCGAGTCGGCGCGGGGGGCGGGACCACCAGGGATTGTCGGGCGGGGATAAACGTCGTCGTTGAGTCAATTCCCTCCCCTATTTCCCCTCCCTGACGGAGTGGGTGGGGTGGGGGGTGGAGCAGGGAGAGGGTACGGGAGGGCAAGGACGCGGGAGGGGTCCCCCCTGCGGGAGGAGGGTCCTGGAGAGGGGTCCTGGGGAAGATCCCGCCTGTGGTCGGGGAGGCTGGTTGGTCCCGGGTCGGAATACCGCCCCGCGGGGTCCAGGCGTGTCCCGGGGGGTGGCGCCAGCGGGGGTCCTGGGGGAAGTCCCGCCTTCGGGGTCGGCGGCAACGGCCGTCAGGCCTTCTTCACAATAGGTTGCCCGGCTTGGCACCAGGGCCCTCGCAGCTGCGCCTCGCACACACGCTCGACACGAACTGGAACCGACATCGAGTCCCTGGCTGGGGTCACTTTGTTCTTACCCCCTCTCCACAACCTTCGGGAATGATTTGTTCTACCTCTCGACCCATGCTTACAGAAACGGAGAACATGGTCTGCGAGCTTCCCCGCCAGCTTTGTCCAGCCCCTGCGGATAACCCTTGCCCTTCCCATGGCCACGCAGCTTCGAGCCGCCGGCGGTGAGCAAAAAAAAATGCGGCGGAGCGGTGAGCCTGACTCGGGGGCGCCGGCGCCGTCTGCCTCTGCCTGGTTACAGTGCACGACATGACACCTCCACGAGATGCGGCAGAGCAGCATGGCTCGCGAGTGTCTTTGCGCGCCGTCCCTCGCCTAATTAGTCGTAGTCGGTCATGTCTGCGAAGTGCTCCCCTCCGAAGCACACGTCGATCATGCAGTCTTTGTTGGGAATGCCAGTCTTAGACTTCCCCGTGCAGAGCTCCTTGGCCCTCTCAGTCTTGTCGGTGCAATTGTTGAGGTCGGGCCGGGCCGCGGGCGTCACAGGGGTCTTGGTGTGGAAGAGCAGTTCCCCTTGCGGGACACCCGTGGTGCCGATGCGGGCGCGGATTGCCGGCCTGGTGTCGTCTTCAAGCACACCGTTGAAATTTCCACAGTGGCCGTCTTGGTTGGGCTGCATGCTCATGGTGATCATCGTGTTGATGTAATCTCCCTCGCCCGGCTCGTTCCAGCGGTTGATCTCCAGGTGGACGTTGAGCGGCAAGTCCACGTGCACGACGCGCATGTCCTTGCCGTGGCGGCTCGATTGCATCACCTGCCCGCTGCCGTCGGTGACAACCTTGATCATCGGGTCCTGGTTCTCCCAGGCGTCCGGAAAGCCGGAGATGATGGGGATGTCGTTGAAGGTCGCTCTGAGGGAGGAGATGCGGAGGACGTTCTTCGTGCCGTCCTTGCCCTCCAGGAAGGGCCCGCCGATCGCGATCTCCTTCATGACGGAGAGGCCGTTGGTCACCGGAGTCGGCATGTAGCGGCCCTGCATCCAGACGGTGGTGCTCTTCACAGTCCAGTACTCGCCCTGAGAGTAGAAGCTTGCTGACTGCCCGTCAAACGTCACCACGTGCGGGTCACCGAAGATCCTGCAGTGCCTCTGGGGCCCCTGCGGCGGCGGCGCCGGCGTGGGGTTCTCGCATTCGGGAGTGCCCGTGATGCAGATGCCCTTCTCATCACAGTCGTCGAAATCGGTACACTTCTCGGAGCCACAGTCATCGTCACACTGCGTCCCATCGCGGGCACAGTTGCACATGTCGATGCAGCACTCCTTCGGCGGCGGCGTAGGCACGACGTCCGGAGGCGGCGTGGTGATGATGGGGGGGGCCGTTGTGGTCGTGGTCGTGGTGGTGGTGGTCCCCGCGAAGAAGAGGAGGGGGGTCAAGAGCAGCGGCAGGAAGCAGCAGAGCCACCATGGGCTGCACCCGGCCGCGGGGATCGGCACCACGGTGAAGGTGCCAGCACCCTGGCCCACGTACTGGTAAGTGGTCGTGGCGATGTAATCGCCGCCCATGCCCACATACGACATCGTCGTTCCAGCGATGCCCCCGCAACTGGCGCCCGCGACCCCGCAGCACGCGTCACCGCACGCGGGCGCCACGCCCACTCCGCACCCGTCCGCGCCGCAGCTGTTGCCGCAGCCCACGCCTCCGCAGCACCCCCCTCCACCACCGGCGTAGCCCATCCCAGGGTAGGCGCCCCCGCTGGCGAAGGCCCCGCGGGAGCCCGCGGCCCAGCCACCGTGCGGGCCCGCCGCCATGAAAGATCCGCCACGGGCGCCCACGAAGCTCATCGCTGACCGGGCCTTGCGGCGCGTCTGGTCCAACTCTTGTGCCGGAAAAAGCTTGAGCCAAAATGGCTACGGACCCAACCTGCGATAATGATGAGGATTCTTCTGGGACAGTTGAAAGAAACTCATGGGAGGAAGCATGGCGCGTCGACCACCAGGGTCTGTGCCGCTGCTGTTTCAAGGGAGTCTGCGCCAGGCCTCCTCAAAGAGACCAGAGGCCAGATGCCAGCAAGAGGCACCCGGAGAGCCCATGGGACAACCCACGGGACAATCCACAAGACACCCGCGGGCAAACCCCGCGGAACCCCGCGGAACCCCGCGGAACCCTGCGAGAAGAGAGGGAAATCCGCCAACCCTTCGGCGTGTGCGAGACGCCGTCGTCGCCTTCGTCATCGGCCATCGTCGTCGCCAGTCCCAAGGAAATCTAGGAAAGAAAAGAGAAAGCAACAATTATTAGATGTCGAGCGATCCCCACCGAAACCTTCGACATCATCTGCTTTGTCATGATGTTGTACGATGTATGATGTGATAGTGTGTGTTATGGTGTGGCTTGTTCTGTCATGTTGTAGTATGGGGATGCTCCGTTATGCCATGTTGTGATATGATGTGTTGCTTTATGGTATGGATACTCCAACGTGTCATAACATGCACATTGTTATGAGATGCTGCGATGAAACATGGTACGCCATGTCATGTGATGGTGTGGCGTGCTAGGTTGTGGTATGCTCAGCTCTGCGTTGGTTGATTATGGTATGTTAAAAGTGTCATGTTATGGAATGAGTGCTGTGATGCTGTGCTATGGCATGCACTGCTCTGTCATGGTGTACTATCTTACGAAATGCTCTGTCATGATATGGTCTGACATGCTCGGATATGTCATGTTCGGTGGTGTGGTGTTCTGCTCTGTTCTGTGGGGAACCTGGGGATCTGGCGGCCGCGGTGTGCAGAGTGGGCGAGTCGGCGCGGGGGGCGGAACCCTCAGGGATCATCGGCGACCTGGGGGTCTGGCGGCCGCAGTATGCAGAGTGGGCGAGTCGGCGCGGGGGGCGGGACCACCAGGGATTGTCGGGCGGGGATAAGCGTCGTCGTTGAGTCGATTCCCTCCCCTATTTCCCCTCCCTGACGGAGTGGGTGGGGTGGGGGGTGGGGCAGGGGGAGGGTACGGGAGGGCAAGGACGCGGGAGGGGTCCCCCCTGCGGGAGGAGGGTCCTGGAGAGGGGTCCTGGGGAAGATCCCGCCTGTGGTCGGGGAGGCTGGTTGGTCCCGGGTCGGAATTCCGCCCCCCGGGGTCCAGGCGTGTCCCGGGGGGGGGCGCCAGCGGGGGTCCTGGGGGAGGTCCCGCCTTCGGGGTCGGCGGCAACGGCCGTAAGGCCTTCACAACAGGTTGCCCGGCTTGGCACCAGGGCCCTCGCAGCTGCGCCTCGCACACACGCTCGACACGAGCCGGAACCGGAATCGAGTCCCTGGCTGGGGTCACTTTGTTCTTGCCCCCTCTCCACAACCTTCGAGAATGATTTGTTTCACCTCTCAACCCATGCTTACAGAAACGGAGAACATGGTCTGCGAGCTTCCCCGCTGAGAAAGGCAGCTTTGTCCAGCCCCTGCGGATAACCCTTGCCCTTCCCATGGCCACGCAGCTTCGAGCCGCCGGCGGTGAGCAAAAAAAATGCGGCGGAGCGGTGAGCCTGACTCGGGGGCGCCGGCGCCGTTTGCCTCTGCCTGGTTACAGTGCACGACATGACACCTCCACGAGATGCGGCAGAGCAGCATGGCTCGCGAGTGTCTTTGCGCGCCGTCCCTCGCCTAATTAGTCGTAGTCGGTCATGTCTGCGAAGTGCTCCCCTCCGAAGCACACGTCGATCATGCAGTCTTTGTTGGGAATGCCGGTCTTAGACTTCCCCGTGCAGAGCTCCTCGGCCCTCTCAGTCTTGTCGATCGGGCAATTGTTGAGGTCGGGCCGGTTCGCGGGCGTCACAGGGGTCTTGGTGTGGAAGAGCAGTTCCCCTTGCGGGACACCCGTGGTGCCGATGCGGGCGCGGATTGCCGGCCTGGTGTCGTCTTCAAGCACACCGTTGAAATTTCCACAGTGGCCGTCTTGGTTGGGCTGCATGCTCATGGTGATCATCGTGTTGATGTAATCCCCCTCGCCCGGCTCGTTCCAGCGGTTGATCTCCAGGTGGACGTTGAGCGGCAAGTCCACGTGCACGACGCGCATGTCCTTGCCGTGGCGGCTCGATTGCATCACCTGCCCGCTGCCGTCGGTGACAACCTTGATCATCGGGTCCTGGTTCTCCCAGGCGTCCGGAAAGCCGGAGATGATGGGGATGTCGTTGAAGGTCGCTCTGAGGGAGGAGATGCGGAGGACGTTCTTCGTGCCGTCCTTGCCCTCCAGGAAGGGCCCGCCGATCGCGATCTCCTTCATGACGGAGAGGCCGTTGGTCACCGGAGTCGGCATGTAGCGGCCCTGCATCCAGACGGTGGTGCTCTTCACAGTCCAGTACTCGCCCTGAGAGTAGAAGCTTGCTGACTGCCCGTCAAACGTCACCACGTGCGGGTCACCGAAGATCCTGCAGTGCCTCTGGGGCCCCTGCGGCGGCGGCGCCGGCGTGGGGTTCTCGCATTCGGGAGTGCCCGTGATGCAGATGCCCTTCTCATCACAGTCGTCGAAATCGGTACACTTCTCGGAGCCACAGTCATCGTCACACTGCGTCCCATCGCGGGCACAGTTGCACATGTCGATGCAGCACTCCTTCGGCGGCGGCGTAGGCACGACGTCCGGAGGCGGCGTGGTGATGATGGGGGGGGCCGTTGTGGTCGTGGTCGTGGTGGTGGTGGTCCCCGCGAAGAAGAGGAGGGGGGTCAAGAGCAGCGGCAGGAAGCAGCAGAGCCACCATGGGCTGCACCCGGCCGCGGGGATCGGCACCACGGTGAAGGTGCCAGCACCCTGGCCCACGTACTGGTAAGTGGTCGTGGCGATGTAATCGCCGCCCATGCCCACATACGACATCGTCGTTCCAGCGATGCCCCCGCAACTGGCGCCCGCGACCCCGCAGCACGCGTCACCGCACGCGGGCGCCACGCCCACTCCGCACCCGTCCGCGCCGCAGCTGTTGCCGCAGCCCACGCCTCCGCAGCACCCCCCTCCACCACCGGCGTAGCCCATCCCAGGGTAGGCGCCCCCGCTGGCGAAGGCCCCGCGGGAGCCCGCGGCCCAGCCACCGTGCGGGCCCGCCGCCATGAAAGATCCGCCACGGGCGCCCATGAAGCTCATCGCTGACCGGGCCTTGCGGCGCGTCTGGTCCAACGCTTGTGCCAGAAAAAGCTTGAGCCAAAATGGCTACGGACCCAACCTGCGATAATGATGAGGATCCTTCTGGGACAGTTGAAAGAAACTTATGGGAGGAAGCATGGCGCGTCGACCACCAGGGTCTGTGCCGCTGCTGTTTCATCGCCGCTGCGGCCACCCACCGCCGATGCACCTGGCTCAAGGGAGCCTGCGCCAGGCCTCCTCAAAGAGACCAGAGGCCAGATGCCAGCAAGAGGCACCCGGAGAGCCCATGGGACAACCCACGGGACAATCCACAAGACACCCGCGGGCAAACCCCGCGGAACCCCGCGGAACCCTGCGAGAAGAGAGGGAAATCCGCCAACCCTTCGGCGTGTGCGAGACGCCGTCGTCGCCTTCGTCATCGGCCATCGTCGTCGCCAGTCCCAAGGAAATCTAGGAAAGAAAAGAGAAAGCAACGAAAACGTCGCAGTTCAGTCAATGCCCTCCCCCTTTTCCCCTCCCTGACGGGGTGGGTGGGGCAGGGGGTGGGGCAGGGGGGGGTGCGTGAGGGGGCCCGGGGGGGACGGGGCGGGGACGGGGGTGGGACGGGGTCGGATTACCGCCCCCCTGGGGGGCGGACCCCCCTCCCTTCCTCAGTCTCCCGTGGACGGGAAGGACATGGGAGGGGACCCCCCTGCAGGAGGAGGGTCCTGGAAGGGGGGTCCCGGGCTAGATCCCGCCTGTGGTGGGGGAGGGTGGTCGCGGGTCAGAGTACCGCCCCCCCGGGGTACAGGCGGGTCTCGGGGGGGAGGGGGGGCCAGCGGGGGTCCCGGGGGAGGTCCCGCCTACAGGGTCGGTTGCACCAGCCGTAAGGCCTTCATAATAGGCTGCCCGACTTGGCCCCAGGGCCCTCGCAGCTGCGCCTCGCCCGCACGCTTCTTACCCCCTCTCCACAGCCTTCGAGAATGATTTGTTGCACCTCTCAACCCATGCTACAGAAACGGAGAACATGGTCTGCGAGCTTCCCCGCTGAGACCGGTAGCTTTGTCCAGCCCCTGCGGATAACCATTGCCCTTCCCATGGCCACGCAGCTTCGAGCCGCCGGCGGTGAGCAAAATAATTATTCACTGCGTGGAGCTCCCCATATGTGCATCTACTCGCATGGACCTGTCCGCCGTGAATGTCTAGGCGCAAGAGCTTTCGAATATTAACGGGCTTCAGTTGTGACGGTCTGGACATCAATCTAACTGCGAATGAATTGGAGTGTGAATGAGCCTCAGTAGTACGAGCGCGTCTCTGTGCATGAGCCTGGGGCCTCCTGGGGCCTCCTGAAACCTACTGGGGCTTCCTGGGGTCTCCAGGAGCCTCTTGGGACCTCCTGGGACCTCCTAGGAAGGTTTCGTGCCCCAGGAGAGGCGCAATCTATAGCAACAGACGTACATAAAACATTGCGGATTAGAGCCACAGGAGAAGGGCAATCTATAGGAACACGCGTAAAACACCAAGGACTCGTGCCCCAGGAGAGGCCCAATACATAGAACATGAGTAAAACATTTAGGATTGTGTACACAGGAGAAGGACCATCTATAGAAACATACGTAGAACATCAAAGAATCGTGCTCCAGGTGAGGCCCAATCGATAGGAGCATACGTAAAACACATGGGATTGGAGCCACTCCTGTTGCCTTCTGAGGCCTCCTGCTCCTGGGGCCTCTCGGGGCCTCCTGTTGCCTTCCGAGGCCTCCTGGCGCTTCCTGTTGCCTCCTGGGGCCTCCTGTGGTTTCCTGAGGCCTTCTGGAGCTTCCTGGGGCCTCCTGGAGCCTCTTGGGACATCCTGTGGCCTCTTGAGTCTTTCTGTGGCCTCCTGATGCCTCCTGGGACCTCATGTGGTCTCCTGGGGCCTCCTGGAGCCTGTTGGAGCCTCCTGTGGCATCCTGAGAAGAATCTGCGCCCACGAGCCTGGCCACCAAAACAAGCAAACCGATCGAGACATCCTCAAAATCTGGCCCACCTGGGGGGTGAAAATGAGCGCCTCGCTCGAGACATCCTCCAAATCTGCTCCGAAAGCGAAGGATGTTGGGCCCAGAAACAAGCAAACCGCCTGAGACATCCCCACAAAATGGCCGCGAACGAGCCCGTGCAACCACCCCTGGCGGCTCCCCTTAGGGGTGCTGAAATGAGCGCCTCGCTCGAGACATCCTCCAAATCTGCTCCGAAAGCGAAGGATGTTGGGCCAGAAACAAGCAAACCGCCTGAGACATCCCCACAAAATGGCCGCGAACGAGCCCGTGCAACCACCCCTGGCGGCTCCCCTTAGGGGTGCTGAAATGAGCGCCTCGCTCGAGACATCCTCCAAATCTGCTCCGAAAGCGAAGGATGTTGGGCCAGAAACAGGCAAACCGCCTGAGACATCCCCACAAAATGGCCGCGAACGAGCCCGTGCAACACCCCTGGCGGCTCCCCTTAGGGGTGCTGAAATGAGCGCCTCGCTCGAGACATCCTCCAAATCTGCTCCGAAAGCGAAGGATGTTGGGCCCAGAAACAGGCAAACCGCCTGAGACATCCCCACAAAATGGCCGCGAACGAGCCCGTGCAAACACCCCTGGCGGCTCCCCTTAGGGGTGCTGAAATGAGCGCCTCGCTCGAGACATCCTCCAAATCTGTGTATGAGTAAGTCTGTGTATGAGTAAGTCTGTGTATGAGTATGTCTGAGTGTGAGTAAGTCTGAGTATGAGTAGGTCTGAGTATGAGTAAGTCTGAGTATGAGTAAGTCTGTGTATGAGCAAGTCTGAGTATGAGTAACTCCGACAGGAGGGGGGGAGGAAAGAGGAGGGAGGAGAAGGAGTAGGAGGCGTCTAAGTAATAACAAGAACCCCATCTTAGGATATGGGGAAAAAAATGCGGCGGAGCGGTGAGCCTGACTTGGGCGCCGGCGCCGTCCGCCTTTGCCTGGTTACAGTGCACGACATGACACCTCCACGAGATGCGGCAGAGCAGCATGGCTCGCGAGTGTCTTTGCGCGCCGTCCCTCGCCTAATTAGTCGTAGTCGGTCATGTCTGCGAAGTGCTCCCCTCCGAAGCACACGTCGATCATGCAGTCTTTGTTGGGAATGCCGGTCTTAGACTTCCCCGTGCAGAGCTCCTCGGCCCTCTCAGTCTTGTCGGTCGGGCAATTGTTGAGGTCGGGCCGGTTCGCGGGCGTCACAGGGGTCTTGGTGTGGAAGAGCAGTTCCCCTTGCGGGACACCCGTGGTGCCGATGCGGGCGCGGATTGCCGGCCTGGTGTCGTCTTCAAGCACACCGTTGAAATTTCCACAGTGGCCGTCTTGGTTGGGCTGCATGCTCATGGTGATCATCGTGTTGATGTAATCCCCCTCGCCCGGCTCGTTCCAGCGGTTGATCTCCAGGTGGACGTTGAGCGGCAAGTCCACGTGCACGACGCGCATATCCTTGCCGTGGCGGCTCGATTGCATCACCTGCCCGCTGCCGTCGGTGACAACCTTGATCATCGGGTCCTGGTTCTCCCAGGCGTCCGGAAAGCCGGAGATGATGGGGATGTCGTTGAAGGTCGCTCTGAGGGAGGAGATGCGGAGGACGTTTTTCGTGCCGTCCTTGCCCTTCAGGAAGGGCCCGCCGATCGCGATCTCCTTCATGACGGAGAGGCCGTTGGTCACCGGAGTCGGCATGTAGCGGCTCTGCATCCAGACGGTGGTGCTCTTCACAGTCCAGTACTCGCCCTGAGAGTAGAAGCTTGCTGACTGCCCGTCAAACGTCACCACGTGCGGGTCACCGAAGATCCTGCAGTGCCTCTGGGGCCCCTGCGGCGGCGGCGCCGGCGTGGGGTTCTCGCATTCGGGAGTGCCCGTGATGCAGATGCCCTTCTCATCACAGTCGTCGAAATCGGTACACTTCTCGGAGCCACAGTCATCGTCACACTGCGTCCCATCGCGGGCACAATTGCACATGTCGATGCAGCACTCCTTCGGCGGCGGCGTAGGCACGACGTCCGGAGGCGGCGTGGTGATGATGGGGGGGGCCGTTGTGGTCGTGGTCGTGGTGGTGGTGGTCCCCGCGAAGAAGAGGAGGGGGGTCAAGAGCAGCGGCAGGAAGCAGCAGAGCCACCATGGGCTGCACCCGGCCGCGGGGATCGGCACCACGGTGAAGGTGCCAGCACCCTGGCCCACGTACTGGTAAGTGGTCGTGGCGATGTAATCGCCGCCCATGCCCACATACGACATCGTCGTTCCAGCGATGCCCCCGCAACTGGCGCCCGCGACCCCGCAGCACGCGTCACCGCACGCGGGCGCCACGCCCACTCCGCACCCGTCCGCGCCGCAGCTGTTGCCGCAGCCCACGCCTCCGCAGCACCCCCCTCCACCACCGGCGTAGCCCATCCCAGGGTAGGCGCCCCCGCTGGCGAAGGCCCCGCGGGAGCCCGCGGCCCAGCCACCGTGCGGGCCCGCCGCCATGAAAGATCCGCCACGGGCGCCCATGAAGCTCATCGCTGACCGGGCCTTGCGGCGCGTCTGGTCCAACTCTTGTGCCAGAAAAAGCTTGAGCCAAAATGGCTACGGACCCAACCTGCGATAATGATGAGGATCCTTCTGGGACAGTTGAAAAAACTCATGGGCGGAAGCATGGCGCGTCGACCACCAGGGTCTGTGCCGCTGCTGTTTCATCGCCGCTGCGGCCACCCACCGCCGATGCACCTGGCTCAAGGGAGTCTGCGCCAGGCCTCCTCAAAGAGGCCAGAGGCCAGATGCCAGCAAGAGGCACCCGGAGAGCCCACGGGACAACCCACGGGACAATCCACAAGACACCCGCGGGCAAACCCCGCGGAACCCCGCGGAACCCCGCGAGAAGAGAGGCAAATCCGCCAACCCTTCGGCGTGTGCGAGACGCCGTCGTCGCCTTCGTCATCGGCCATCGTCGTCGCCAGTCCCAAGGAAATCTAGGAAAGAAAAGAGAAAGCAACAATTATTAGATGTCGAGCGATCCCCACCGAAACCTTCGACATCATCTGCTTTGTCATGATGTTGTACGATGTATGATGTGATAGTGTGTGTTATGGTGTGGCTTGTTCTGTCATGTTGTAGTATGGGGATGCTCCGTTATGCCATGTTGTGATATGATGTGTTGCTTTATGGTATGGATACTCCAACGTGTCATAACATGCACATTGTTATGATATGCTGCGATGAAACATGGTATGCCATGCCATGTGATGGTGTGGCGTGCTAGGTTGTGGTATGCTCAGCTCTGCGTTGGTTGATTATGGTATGTTAAAAGTGTCATGTTATGGAATGAGTGCTGTGATGCTGTGCTATGGCATGCACTGCTCTGTCATGGTGTACTATCTTACGATATGCTCTGTCATGATATGGTCTGACATGCTCGGATATGTCATGTTCGGTGGTGTGGTGTTCTGCTCTGTTCTGTGGGGAACCTGGGGATCTGGCGGCCGCGGTATGCAGAGTGGGCGAGTCGGCGCGGGGGGCGGAACCCTCAGGGATCATCGGCGACCTGGGGGTCTGGCGGCCGCAGTATGCAGAGTGAGCGAGTCGGCGCGGGGGGCGGGACCACCAGGGATTGTCGGGCGGGGATAAACGTCGTCGTTGAGTCAATTCCCTCCCCTATTTCCCCTCCCTGACGGAGTGGGTGGGGTAGGGGGTGGGGCAGGGGGAGGGTACGGGAGGGGGTCGGGGGGGGGGGGGACGGGGGAGGGACGGGGTCAGATCCCCCTAGGGTCCCGGCGGCCCACCGCTCCCGTCCCTGGCAGCGTTCAACCTTGACCGCCTGCGCTGGCGTCGCTGCCGCATCGACGCGGCACGAATCTGCCTCACTCGACCTTGTCGGTGCTGCACGGGGGACGTCCTCGATCACTCGCGCCCTGCCCCGCCGCGGCCGCCTCTGGCGACCCGGCCGAGGACCCTGGCGGCGGCTGCGCGGCTGCGTCCGCGACCAGGAACTGAACCGACTTGGGCCTCTTTGGCGAGGCCGCTGGGCTCTGGGTATGATCCTGCCCCTGCTGCCCCCATGCCGCATCTGCTCCTCATGCCCCTCCCGCCCGTCTCCCCCGCCGCCCTTTGAAAATCTAATAGGAGCCATTTCCGAAAAGGCAAAACAGCACTTGAGCCAAAGCAGACAGTAGACAAATATGGCTGCGACAACAAAGCTATAAGACGCTGCGTGGCGAATCTAAATGCGTAGGCATGTTTTGATCACGCCTGGTCTCCAACATAGCACGAAGGCAATGATGAAAGGCATAACTGGCGCGAGGAAAAACATAACTTTGACTTGGACGTCAAGTTTCAGGGGCTTCCAAACACGCGATACAGTATCTGAAACTGCCACACAGCACCAAGTACTGCAGAATGGCGAACATATTATGAGAAAATGCGTATTCTGCCGCTGCTGGTGGAAAACCAGGGGGGTCACTGGGGGTTCCCAACCCGTCCCCCCCCCCTCGAAAACCGGGGGGTGTCACTACCGGTTCGAAACCCCCCTCGTCCCCTCCCCCCAGTCCATCATGGAAAGGGAGGGGGTCACTACGGGTTCGAATGCCTCTGGGTCGACCTTCCCCTGGTGAGTTGTGACGACCCGAAGGGGCCGTGTGTTGATGTACGTACTGAACTCCCGCCAGCCCTCGAACAGCATGGTCCGCAGCCAACCGGACAGGGGCGCCTTCGGCTCGACGGCCAACCCGTCGGGGACGCCTGCGAATTTCCGGCCCAGAAGGGCCGTGCTGCTGCAGGAGCCACACTCCCCGTAGCCCACGAGCGGAACGACCTGCAGCCAACAGGACAGGGGCACTTCCGACCAGGCACTCACTCCGTCGGGGGCGTGCGCGAGCTTCAGGCCCGCCGAGGGGGGCAAGCACACGGGCCACTGGAAGTACTCTGGGCCCGGGAACTGCCCTGGCCCGCCAGGGCGCTGCGAAAAAAGACCCGGGGGGGACCCCGGCCCCCGCCCCTCTGAGCTCAGCGCCTGCCCCTCTGGGCTTAGCGCTCCTCTGGTGGGTCTGGAGAAACCGCGCATCTTCCCTTCCGCAAAGTTCGCCCCCTCCCTCCTGGGGGGGCCTTTTGACAGGGCGGCCCACCCGTTATGGGCGTCCCCGAACTTCTGGCACGGCGGGGGCCGCACAGTTGCGGGTGCCGAACTTCCCGCAGTCCACGAACAGTGCGACGCGCAGCCCGCCGGACAGGGGCGCCCTCGACAAGGCGGCCACTCCGTTGGGGACGTTCGCAAACTTCAGGCTAGCCGAGGGGGCGAATCCCCAGGCCACTGGAGATACTCCGGGGCGGAGGCCCCCAGGGACACGCGTCCGCGCCGCATCTCAGTCACCCCGTGGCGCGCGCAGGTAGCGACGACGCCGCTGGAGCTTAGGCCTCGGGGGTTCCCAACATCTCCAGGCGCCCGGGCGCCGATCTCGCTCCCGAAGGCGCGCGGCGGGGGGCCACTGAACAGGGCCCAGTCGCCCCGGGCGGCGGGGCCTTTCAGGCTGCCCTGGGAGCACACCCCTACGGTCGCCCTTCCCGCCAGGTGCCCGTTCGCGATCTCCTCCGCCGACTCCTTCTGCATCTCCGCGGAGCCGACGGACGTCCGCACCGCCCAACCGAAGTCGCCCACCGCGGTTGCGGCGCCGTCGAAACGATCCTGGGACCGCTTGCCGAGCGCGCCGCATGTCCCCCCCTGCGCCCAGCTTGCCGCGCGGACCCTGGGGATCGCGCCGAGCCCGCTCGGGCTGTCTGCTAACTGCTAACCCCAAGCCAGCCGAATAGGGCAAGTGGCAGGGAAGCTTGCCGGTGAGTCTGGGGGGGAAGCCCCCCCTCGCCGCCAGCATGCTCACGCTGCCAGGCCTGAACTCGGTCCGGCACCGACGGGCGCGCCGAGGCTGGGGGGGCGAGGCCGCGGCCAGGCACACCCAGCCGCAGGCCAAGGGCGAGCAGGCGACGCCATCGGCTCCCCTCCCGGCGCCTGGCCCGAAGCCGCGAAGATCAGCCAGCCTGGACGCCTGCCTGCCCAAGGCGCCCTGCGAGCAGCCCGGTGGAGACGGCCGACCTGGCCCGCGCTCCCTCCCCTCCATAAATGTGCGGACCGCAGGGGCGTTGGCGTCCGCCACGAGCGGGGGCTGAGAGGATGACTACAGCGTGTGGCACGACATCCCCATCGCCACCATGCATTGCAACCAGGCTTCCCAGGCCCGCATCCTGGCAGAACAAGCACACCGTGTACAGGTACGAGGCGACCGGCGTGAACGTACGGTTCAGAGGCAACGGGGCCGACTGCAGCGAGGCACCCTTCAAGCCGTCATGTTTCGCGCGCGGTCGCTGGCAAGGCCCTCTCGACAAGGGGACGGAGTTGTGCTACGACCTCATTGCGCACACCTACGAGGCAGCACTGTAGGAGCACCTCGGCCAAAAAAACTCTTAGCACTCCGAGGTTGGATGGGGGAGCCCCCACGGGGCAGCCCTTCCCGCGCCTGGGGAGCTCGATGAGTCAGCGCACGCCCTTCTCCCACTGTCCGCCTCCCATTGTCGCCGAACGAGCTCGTCATGGTTTCCACCCACTCCCCACGCCCCCTTCAGGTTCCCTCTTTCTCACCCCCTGCTTGCCTCCTCTTCTCCCTCTCTGGCCCCGCGGTCCGTCGCTGCCCTCCTCTTCCTGCCCGCCCCTCTGCACGTCGTCCCCCGACGTGCCCGTCGCCGCCCCCCTGACGTTTCTCCCCGTCTCGGCCCGCATCGTGTAGGAATACAGTCGGCTGGCCCCCTCCCAGCTGGCGTCTCGCGGAGAGCTCAAGCGCCTTCGGCCGCCACAAAGAAGTGTGAGAGAGGGGGGGGGGAAGGGGAGGGGCAGGTGGGGGGAGAGAGGGGGGAGGGGCAAGCCAGGTGCGCTCGCGCCATATGCGACACCCTGCGCCTCCCACCCATCCCTTCCCATTGCGCTGATGTGTTCTCCTTCCCATGCGCAATCGGGAAAAGGGCGCTGCGTACTTTGGAGGAGGAGGAAGAGGAGGAGGCGGAGCAGGTGGCGGATGGGCAGGAGGATAAACAGGAGGGAAAAGGAGGAGGAGGAGGAGGCAGGAGGAGGACGAGGAGGAACAGCAGGAGCAGAATGACCAGGGCAAGGCGAGGGACGGCAAAAGAGAGGACCCTAAAATGAAAGCCATGCTGCGGCAGCACCGTCTTGAGACACCGAAAAAACGTTCCGACCGAAACAAGGCATGGGAAATATCAGATCCGCCGGCCCCCTTGTGGGGCCACCAGGCTGTAGGCCGAAAGTTTGCAGTTTCCTGCGCCAGTTGCAGCTTCCAGTTTCCACTGTTACAGCTCTGCTTCTTGCTGCTTACTGTTCCTTGTTGATGGGCCGCGCGAGGGGAGAGGCCCAAACAGGCAGGTTTAGCAAGCCCTGAGCGTGTTGTCTGAATTGCTGGGGTGGGTAAAAATGACCACCCCTCACGCAGATCCACCCCTCACGCAGATCGGCGGGGTGAGGGTCCAAAACTACATGGGATTTGCCACATTTCTGAAATTCCATAACACCCCTCACGTAGATCGGCCAGGTCAGGGTCCAAAAACACATAGGAATTTGCCACGTTTCTGAAAAAATCGGCGGCACCCCCCTTACGCAGATCGGCGGGGTCAGGGTCCAAAAACACATGGGATGTGCCACATTTCTAACATTCGGTGGCACCCCTCACGCAGATCGGCGGGATCAGGATGCAGAAACACAGGGGATTTGCCACATTGCTGAAATTCGCTGGCACCCCTCACGCAGACCAGCGGGGTCAGGGTCTAAAAACACATGGGATGTGCCACATTTCTGAAATTCGGTGGCACCCCTCAGGCAGATCGGCGGGGCCAGGGTCCAAAAACACATGGGATTTGCAACATGTCTGAAATTCGATGGCACCCCTCACGCAGATCGGCGGGGTCAGGGTCCGAAAACCCAGGGGATTCTCAACATTTCTGAAATTCGGGGGCACCCCTCACGCGGATCGACAGGGTCAGGGTCCAAAAACACAGGGGATATGCCACATTTCTGAAAAATTCGGTGCCACCCCTCACGCAGATCCGCGGGGTCAGGGTCCAAAAACACAGTGGATTTGCAACATTTCTGAAATTCGGTGGCATCCCTCACGCAGATCCGTAGCGTCAGGGTCGAAAAACAAACAGGTCCCGACATTGCCTCACGGCGGCGCCCAGGCATCATGTTTTAGCTGTTGCATCTCCCATTATCCGAGACAGGGGGCCAGCGGCATGGGGCGAAGCCCTTACGGATAATGGAATCCTGTGCGTCGAAAGCAATACGCAGAGGGGGGTGGGCCACTCCCTGGCCATCCTCAGGGGAGAGAATAGAATAGCATTCATACCGAGTACCCGTCGGTTTGAAGAAGAAACACGTGGAAATATAAAATAGAAAGGCGGATAAAGCAGATTGGGGTCGGGCGCGCCCCAATAATCCGCCGGCCCCCTTGTGGGGCCACCAGGCTGCGAGGCGCGTGATTCGCAGTGTCCTGTACCAGTTGTAGCTTGTAGTTTCCAGTGTTACAGTTCTGCTTCTTGCTGGTTACTGTAACTAGTTGACTGGTTGCTGGTTACTGTAACTAGTTGATTGACCGCGCGAGGGGGGGGAGGCCCAAACGGGATTTTTAGCACCCCCTGGGCGCGTTGTCTGAATTGCTGGGCGGGCTCGAAATCGACACCCCTCACGCAGATCCGCGGGGTCAGGGTCCAAAAACACAAGGGATTTGCAACATTTCTGAAATTCGGTGCCACCCCTCACGCAGATCCGCGGGGCCAGGGTCCAAAAACACAGGGGATTTGCCACATTTCTGAAATTCGGTGCCACCCCTCACGCAGATCCGCGGGGTCAGGGTCCAAAAACACAGGGGATTTGCCACATTTCTGAAATTCGGTGCCACCCCTCACGCAGATCCGCGGGGCCAGGGTCCAAAAACACAGGGGATTTGCCACATTTCTGGAATTCGGCGCCACCCCTTACGCAGATCCGCGGGGTCAGGGTCCAAAAACACAGGGGATTTGCTACATTTCTGAAATTCGGTGCCACCCTTCACGCACATCCATCGCAAGGCGTGGTAACCCAAACTGCGAGAACTCCCGCGGCCCTTTAATCGCAAGGTGTGGTAATCAAGCCCGTAAACCATACACGTCTTACCAATCGCCAGGTGTGGTAACCCCTCTTGTGATCAGCTGGTTTTGCTGATTGCGAATCGGCTTCGCATGAAGTTTCGATACTGCTTCACGACAGCGCCAAGACCTCATGACTTAGCTCTTCCATGGCCCATTCTCCGAGAGAGGGGGCCGGCGGCAGGGGGCGAAGCCCTTACGGATAATATGAACCAACAACAAAACAGACCGACTCTTGAGTTAGGAGGGCGCTTGAAGCAGATTGGGATCTGGGAGTCCAAAAATACCTATTTTCAACGACCAGCGTGTAATTGTGGAGGGCAGGCTGCCCGCTCGCGAACGCAAGCGCTTTGACACCAGACCCGCTTCAGCAGAAGGCTGGTCTGGGACGGAGCAAGGCTTGGGACTGGCTCGCGCTTCGGATGGCCCCCAGAGGGCGATGACGTCCACCATAAGCCACGGCCCTGGCCGCTGGCGGCAGAGGGAAGTCGCGGAAGGGGAGGGGGGGGGGGGGCGGAGGGAGGAGGAGCGGGAGAGGGGGAAGAGGGGCCGGAGAGAAGAGGGGGGATGGGCAAGGAGAAGGAGGACAGCCTCGCCATGCCGACGGTCCTGGGCTCTGCTAGAGGCTAGAGGCTTCTTCGATAAGGTCCCAACGGATGGGGTCCAAAGATTGCACCGAATCGCCAGTGCATCGGCGAAGCATCGGCGATGCATCGCCGACGCCGGCGATGCATCGGCGACGTCGGCGTGTCGAAATCGGACTCCACACCGAGCCGCATCGCCGATGTGCCGGCGATGCGGCGCGATCCTCCGACCCCCGACGTCAGAGTTGTGTCATGGCGTCGACCCCCAGAGGTCTCGACCAACTCCCCGGGACCGGTTTTGTTTCTCATCCTCGGCCGCTCCTCGACGGCCCCGAGGCCCGGCAAGGGCCCCCAGATCTCTCCACGACTCGAGGAGGTCTGGGTCCTCCGACCCCGCCTGCTCGGACCCTGCCCGACTGCATGACAAACTAACCCCCAACCAGGCCCGAAGCCGCCGCTGGGCTCGCCGACTTCCCGTGGTGGGGGGGGTCACTTCCCGTCCACCCCCCGACCCGGAAACTTGGGGTGGCCTACATTGGGATGCACAAAAACGTACTAGTGCTACATGTTATCCTTGGAGGCGCGCGTCCGACCCGGACATATAGTATACCCATCTTGTAGTATATCGCTTCCAGAGGGGGGGGGCCAGAATGCGCCCGCCACGACGCATATACTATAAGAATTCTCGGTGCGCGCATCGCCCCCAGGGGGGCGACGCACATATAGTATAAGCATGTTGGGGTGACGCCGACACATGGGCGTTCGGGTTGGGCGGGGGTACCCTGGTGAGTATAGGAACCGCCTGGGAGGCCCAAACCTGCCCACTCGGCCGGCGCCCCGGGGGCGCGGCGCCGGGCCGCCTGGGCTGCAGCCGGGCCCCCATGGCGCGCAGGGTGCCCATCGCCTGCGCGACCTCGGGGCCGACAATGCCCACGGAGGTCGCCCGGTGGATGGCGGACTGGAGAGACTGCGGCGCCCCGGGGGAGGGGAGGAAGCAACAAAAAAAAAACGGGGGCCGTGGCCAAGATCAGATCCAGTGAGCGCCGTGCCGATCTTGGCCGCCGCCCTCGTGGTCCACGCCAGTTCGTGGGCCGTTCCCGACGCGACGTGGCTCAGGCAGGCACGGACCCTGACCAAGAGCAGCATCGGCGGGAGCCCAGGACGTCCTGGTCGTGGTCAGCGTGCTCCTTCCCTCGAGGGGCGGGGGCCGAGTGGAGGGACCCCTGCCCTCAGGGGCGTGGTCTGGGCCCTACTGGCCGATTGGCCCCCCTATAGAAGGGGATGTTGGCCGTTTCCTGCGGGCTTCGAGGGGCTGCACCCCCACGTGGGGTGGTGGAAGGGTGGGGGTGGGGGCAGGCGGAGGGGACGGGGAGCCTCGATGTCCTGGCGGTTCCATTTTTTCGAGCCAGGACCCCCACAGATCGATCCGGACCCAGGACGGGGGCGAGCGGGAAGAGGCAGTGCTTCTGTTCACTGGGGAGTTTTGGCTAGAGGAAGCAAAAGCTGAATGAAAATCAAGTTCTGGCGGTCCGCGCGGTCTTCTTGGATCGGCGCCGGGCCCCCCTGGCGGCGCCTCTGGCGCCGCCCCTGGCGCGTTTCGCGCGGAAGGGGCGGCGAGGCGTCCAGCTATCAAGTTTTTCCCACCCATCCTGTGGTGTTGGATCCTCGTTTTGAAGAATCGGTCCCACGTTCACTCCTCGTCCCGCTGCCCCCATCTCCTCCTCCTCCTCCTCCTCCTCCTCCTCCATCATCATCATCATCATCATCATCATCATCATCATCATCATCATCATCATCATCATCATCATCATCATCATCATCATCATCATCATCATCATCATCATCATCATCATCATCATCATCATCATCATCATCATTATCATCATCAGCAGCGGCGGCGGCGGCAGCGGCAGCAGCAGCAGCTGCCTCATCATCATCATCATCATCATCATCATCATCATCATCATCATCATCATCATCAGCAGCAGCAGCAGCATCATCATCATCATCATCATCATCATCATCATCATCATCATCATCATCATCATCATCATCATCATCAGCATCATCATAATCATGATCATCATCATCATCATCATCATCATCATCATCAGCATCATCATCATCATCATCGTCATCATCATCACCATAATCACAATCATCATCATCATCACCACCATCACCATCAGCATCATTATCATCACCAGCATCATCATCATCATCAGCATCATCATCATCATCGTCATCATAGTCAGCATCAGCATCAGCATCAGCTTTAGTATTAGCGTCATCATCATCATCATCGTCATCGGGATCAGCATCAGCATCCGCATCAGCATCAGCATCATCATCATCATCATCATCATCATCATCATCGTCATCATCATCAGCATCATCATCAGTATCATCATCAGCACCAATTTCAGCACACACACACACACACACACACCAGTACAGCATTTCGTGGCACCAAAGAGAGCTCCACCGAAGGCCCCAGTGGGTGCCCACATGCGTCCGCCACACCCAGTACAGCGCGTCCTGGCCCCACCCATAGGGAGCCCCACCGAAGGCCTCAGTGAGGGTACCCGCATGGGTCCGCCACACCCAGTACAGCGTTTTGTGGCCCCATACGGCGCTCCACCGAAAGCCCCACAGTGGGTACCCGCATGCGTCCGCCACACCCAGTACAGCGTTCCATGGCCCCACAGGGAGCTCCACTGAAGGCCGTGGGGGTGCCCGCATGCGTCCGCCACACCCAGTACAGCGCTTCGTGGCCCCATAGGGAGCTCCACCGAAAGCCCCAGAAGGGGTGCCCGCATGCGTCCGCCACACCCAATACAGCACTTCGTGGCCCATCCCAGTGGGGCCGCCCACATGCGTCCGCCCCACCGAGTACAGCGTTTCGTGGCCCCATAGAGAGCTCCATCTAAGGCTCCAGTGGCGCAGCCCGCATGCGTCTCCCCCACCCAGTACAGCGTTTCGTGGCTTCATTGGGAGCTCCACCGAAGGTCTCAATTGCGCAGCCCGCATGCGTCTCCCCCACCCTGTACAACGTTTGGTGGCCCCATAGGGAGCTACACCGAAGGCCCCACAGTGGGTGCCCGCATGCGTCCGTCACACCCAATACAGCGTTCCATGGACCCACATGGAGCTCCACCGAAAGCCGTGTGGGTGCCCGCATGCGTCCGCCACACCCAGTACAACGCTTCGTGGCCCCATAGGGAGCTCCACAGAAGGCCCCAGAGGGGGTGCCCGCATGCGTCCGCCACACCCAATACAGCGCTGCGTGGCCCCATAGGGAGCTCCACCTAAGGTCCCAGTGGGGCCGCCCACATGCGTCCGCCCCACCGAGTACAGCGTTTCGTGGCCCCATGGGGAGTTCCATCTAAGGCTCCAGTGGCGCAGCCCGCATGCGTCTCCCCCACCCAGTACAGCGCTTCGTGGCCCCGTAGAGCTCCACCGAAGGTTCCAGTTGTGCAGTCCGCATGAGTCTCCCCCACCGAGTACAGCGTTTCGTGGCCCTACAAAGGGGGCCCGACCGAAGACGATACCTAAACTGTGGCATTCACAACTGCATATGGTTGGGTCCTTCGCCAGGCTAGTTGCGGTTGCTTATTCGATTGGCACGGGGCGTCCAAACATTTTTAGGGTGGCACTTCCATCGGTCCCAGGACCCAGTGAAACGCCCCAACAACCCGATGACGCCGAAGAATTTCCGCATCATGCATACGCGGGACGCCCCATCCCGCCCCCGACGCCCCCCACCGCCCCCCCCCCCCCCCTTGCCCCACCCTTCCACCTCTCCCCCCATCATCCCTCACCCCAGTCGGTTTTACATACATCCTCCTTTTCCTCATCCTCCCACGTAAACGCCCACTCACCCCTCCCTCTTTTTTTTGACGTGGCATCAAGGCCACGTGGGAACGAAACACAAAACGCACCGAACAAAGTGGGGACAATTCACGAACCGACCGGGGAAAGGCGAGCTCACGCTTGCGACCCTGGCTCGGGGAAAATTAGTAGCGACGCGGAGTGAACGCCGCGGCGGCCCAAGCGGCCAAAAACATCGGCCGCGCGCGTTGACGCCGAGGAAGAACAATATTAGAGACGCGCGACACCTAGACCAAGGAAGGCGAACGTCGCCACGAAATTCTCGCCCCCGCTCACCAAACAACTCCAGACACGAAGGGGGGATGGGGCAGTGGACTGCAGGGAGGAGGTTGGAAGGAACGCAGCCAAACAGCAAAACATGGCGCGGAAACGGGCCTCGCGGCCGGGGAGGGGTGGGGGGCAGAAGGCGCGGAGGATGAATAGACAGGGGGGGCGGGGAACTGGAGGAGCACGGAGAAGACGAGAAGCAGGGGAGGAACGCTGCTAAAAGGGCTGATCGAAAAAAAGGGGAAACAACGTGTTACAACTCAAGCGAATATGCGGCCCTCGTCAAAACCCGCCGTCGCACCCATAAAATGATATCTGGCTTCGGCGGACCTCAGGCGGGTCGCTCCCAGATACCCCTCTCGCACCGGCACTCCGCCCAGAGCAATGCTGAACCCTCGGCCGAGCCTCACCGCTCAAGCGAGAAGCGCGCCGCGATCCGTTCTTGCCGCACCAAGAGCGAAACCGGAAGATAGCATCTCCAAGAAGTTCCAGCGCGATAACGCAATGCTCGGAGCACCAGGCTTCGATGTGAAACTTCCGGCAGTTAGAGGCCATCGCATGTACATTGCGAGACTGGCACGACATGTGGCTTTGGGAGATCGAACAAGCTGCTTCCGCAAGCCTCTTCAAAGGAACGCGAAAAGGAAAAGTAAATTGAAAAAGTGCGATATGACTCACTGCTGCTGCTGCTACTCAGAGGCGACGATAATCAGGCTGAACAGGAAGCGGGGGAGGCCCGGGCGCATAGCTACCAGGCCTTCCCCCCGAAGCGTGCACAGGCCCGTCCCCGGGAACGCCGTCAGACCTCTTCCGCTTGATGAGCAAGCTGCTTCCGCAAGCCTCTTCAAAGGAACGCGAAAAGGAAAAGTAAATTGAAAAAGTGCGATATGACTCACTGCTGCTGCTGCTGCTCAGAGGCGACGATAATCAGGCTGAACAGGAAGCGGGGGAGGCCCGGGCGCATAGCTACCAGGCCTTCCCCCCGAAGCGTGCACAGGCCCGTCCCCGGGAACGCCGTCAGACCTCTTCCGCTTGATGAGCGACGACGCCACTCAAAGGCTGACCGTCTCGCGCCTTTGCTTACAGGTGGCCCTGGCTGGGCTGCCCACGGGCTGGCCCCCCATGATCCCCTCGTGAGACGCCGGATGGGAGAGCAGCCTCCTCGCCATCGGCCAGAGGAAAAGGAGAGCTGAGGCCATAGACCTAGGCTTCCAGTCCCTGCGGCAAGCAGAAATTGTCATGAGTAATCAATCGGTCTCGGCGTCGACTTGCGAGAGAAATTCTTCTCTGACGAGATGGATTACAAATCCTCTCGTCAGTGTCCGAAAGGTCGATGGAGACGTCAGGTTGGCCAGCGATTGGTAGCGGCATCTGCTCGCCGCGTTCGAACCAGTCGGGCTCCTTTTCGTCATTGGCCTTCGGGGTATCCGGGCGACGCTCATCGTCATAGGAAATATGCCAGCTGATATTTGGATGAGGGCTTCGATTTCTTTTCGTACATCATTCACGAGAGGGAAAACATAGTTTCCCCATATGGTGACATCACTGTCGTCGATGATAGAACTTTTGGTTGGTAACCCATGACTTGCCAGTTCTCCGTTAGGAAAACGAGCTTTCGCACCCCGATTGAACGGCAGAGCGTGCAATTGCTCTACGTGGTGATATTCTTCTTGTATTCGTTTCATACTCAAATACAAGCGACGTACAGGAGATGTACTTATCCCCGCCATTGCTTAGTATGTTCTGCCGTTAAGCCATGAGTAAAGTCAGACTACTCGGAGGAGGGCCGGCCGGCCGGGGGACGCGCGCAACGGGCGGGCCGAACCCTCTCTTCTGCGACCGAAGCCCAAACAGCTTCGGTGTGTCATCGATGTCCGGCGGCGGCGGGACAGCGATGCTGAGGCAATGCAGGGGTGTGACTAAATCAACTTCCATGCTGTGGTTTGCATGGCTTGACTCAAGCCGTTGTGAGATATCCCAACGGGTCGAGGTTTCCATGCGACGATGCTCTCATCCAAGTTCCCCATACAGTGCTTGCACTAAGCAACTTTTACTTTGGGCCTTTGGGCTCTGAATAATTGACACGGTGCG